CAGCACAATTCCTCCGCGATTTCCCGCCAAATCGCTGCGCAGCCGCATGCAACTGCAACCACTGCATTTGCACATGATTTTTTGCAGGTTTTCCATTGCCTTCTATAGCGAGGGAAATTGAGCCTGAGAAAAAAACATATGCAAAGGCTGCGACGGCGCTTCTGCGAGAAACTTCCGGAATCTTATGGGCATTGATTATAGAAAATTTTCAGCAAGATTTTTTTTCAATCGATCTTGTCGGCTTTCCTTGCAAAATTTTAGTGCAAATACATTAAATTTTCTAAGGGTATCAGTATTTATTGATGATCATGATAGTTTCGAGGTTGAAAAGATGTTTCATATTCCCCCCAAAAAAATTGCACCACCTTTTCAATTTTACTTATACTCCAACATTGATTGTTACCATTCCGAGAAAAGAGTACAAAAATCAGTTTATGTAAAAGAGATGAAAAAAAAAGTTGGGTAATTTTAGAAACTTTTTGTTGCAATTTTTTGTGAAATTCATAATATTGAAAATGCAAATTTGTAATCCATCTGCAAAAGGGCTTTTGTTTTCTATCGATATGACTCAGGTCAAACGACAAATTTTTCATATTTCTCCTATGAGCAAATAACTCTTGAAATCACTCTTGATATGTATTTCTCGAACTCATTCCGTTGCCTTCAGTCTCAATTACTAACGCCTAATGGGGGATTAATACAGAGACGTCTTCATCGTATGCATCACACATCACCTCTTTCTCAAATAGCCTCAACAAAAAGCGAAGGATTTATGGGCTGTTTTCAGACTAAATGCCCATTCTTCCGCCTACCTAAATAGCATTTCCCTTTGCGATTCATAAGTCCTTCAATCGTTTCAAGCTTCTTCATTTTGAAGAAGAAAACATATGGCATAGCATTTTCTTTATGGGCATTTCAAAATTCAGAAAGAGGAAAAACACTACTGATAAAAAGCAAAATTGCCAAAACTTCAGTCCGCGTCAGCAGTCATTTATGAGTCCCTTCATACCAAAATAATAGAGATTTTTTTTACATTCTAACGTCACAAATTCTCTTTTCTGTTTAAGTCACACAATAATCATTATTGTGACGGCTTGTCTAGAAATAGACATTCATGCCTCATTGACAATCCTATGACGGTTTTTGATGGAGTGATGGGATAAAGAGTTTCAATGTAATGACTGCAGAGGCTTTGCAAAATAAACTCGCTAGTTTAAAAGCTCTAGAAGTTTCGCAAGAGCGTGGTACTTTTGATTACATTCATTGGCTCTTTGACTTCAGAAAGTGTTGAAAAAAATTCTGTGATGAACTTTCAAGCGTCTATGAACAAACCTTTAGACGAGCAGACATCTTTCTTATGCCTTTAATTCTTTACGAAATTTAATTAAGGGTTTTCCTATTGCTCATGGGCCTAAATTCTACATCTGTAATGTTTATCATAAATATCAAAACAAATTCTGTAGCATCAATTGTTTCGATGAGTTTGAGCCTCCCAAAATCTTGCTTTTCAAAGAATTCTGCAATCCAATTGCCTAAAAACTGTCTTTTTTTCATAAAAGACCAAAATAATAATCAGTTTGTTTTCTCGACTGCACTGAGTTTTGCAAGGGATATTGGATACCGAGACCAGATTTAGGAAGAGTTCCACTGAACAGAAGATAGCACACTTCTTCTGCTGACTACATACCAATTATGCGTTACTTAAATCGTCCTTCGATTGCAGTTTTTTAGCCAGCGGTAAAGATTTTGTCAAAAAGAGGAGTGACAAGAGAAGGAGTCACACGAATTGCTAACCTAGTTCTTACTTGCGCTATTATTTGAACTTTTGATCCACCAGCAAATCTATTGCATTTAGCAAATTATTTATTACAAATTCGAAATCAGTGCTGAAACTCTACAGGCTTTCAAAACTAATTTCTATTCAGTAAAATCTCGATCCAGCTGTTCTATTGCATTTACCATTGTATCAATCATGTTACCACAGCAACTGCAATTTTTAATGAATCTGAGACCTGTAAGAACAGCGAATGAATTCAGTATTATTGTATGAGTTCTATGTTCTACGTACGCTCCAGCCTCTCTCAAGCCTAAATCGAACAATTTCAGACCAAATCTTCAAAAAATCTCAAAGATCTTTTGATGAGCAAAGAAGTTTGCAAAAACGCTCGGATAATCATATAAAATCAAACGCATTGAATCCATTGAGAATCGCATTCTTTTATATCTTATAATTGCTACAGTACTCCGTTGTGAACATCAGTTATCAGTTTCTGGTAAAGATTTTGCCAGAAACCCGCCTACTACTCATTTTGGTGAATGAGTCTATTATTACTTCGATTCGTCCTCTTTACTTCTCAAACAGCAATTTTCTTTTCTAAGCTGAAAGAAATTCCTGTTTCCTTAGAGCTCATACGTCATAACCATTAGCGAGAAGAAAATTGGATGCTTATGGCGCCCAAACGTTGCAAGTTGCAGGCTTTTTCTCTAAGATAAATTGGATTTCCAGAGCTTTGCAAACATAAGTTCATTTCCAAGATGTCGGCTTTGTTTTTGCAAACGACTAGAATTTTCAAGGGCAGAGAACATTTAGGTTTTCAAGACAATCACCGAAGTTGACCTATCTTTCTTTTTGCTAGAAGTTGGTCAGTTCTGGTACCAATTTAGTAAAAATGCAAGTAAAAAACAGTAAAATAATGTTGAATTTGGGATGCTAAAATTTGCGTAAGTCAGCAATTTGATTAGATTTGGTTGTGAATTTACAACCAACTCTTTTTAGCAGAAGAAAATTCGTATTGACTGGATGTAACTAAGAAGAGTAGAAATTTTCGAGTTTTTTTTCTGACATTTCGCTCTAGAACGAATTTTCTCTGATTCCCAGTATGATACTCATAGATCAACCTTATAAAACTACTTCAACTAAACAGTAAAGAAGAAAGTTCATTGAAGTTACTCACTTTTCAAATGGCAAAATCCAGCATATACCAAAATTTTACTGAGAACTTTGGTTCGTTTCTACAAATTTTATGAAATCTTTTGTCAAACCTTTGACTGAGTGCAAGAAGAGAAGAGTATATTACTACAAATCACCGAAAGTGCTTGGAAATCTTACTTACAAACCAAAAGTGCATCTGACCACCTCCAGTACAATATATTGTACTCAAGATATTGAGGCCATTGGTGGGAAAGTTTTTCAATCAGAACCCAAAAGTCAGACAGCTGATAACTGAACAAATATACGTAAGAAGGTTGCGAAAAAAAATGCTCAAAGTTAATGAAAGCAGCTGATTTCAGAAAAGACTACATATGAATATGGTAGCTGCAAAAAAGTCACATTTGCATTTGCATTTCTAAAGTGTACGTTGTCTTGGAAAGCTTAAGCATATTTTTTGCATATATTAGGCTGTCCCGTAAGTTCTGTCGTTTCATTTTTGTTGTAACTTTTTGCTATCTTAACGGATTTGGTTCTTTCTATTGGAAAGAAGAGCTCTTCGTCTTTGTATGAGCATCTCGTAGAACTTCAACTATACATTGACTGCAGAGATAAGAATCGAGAAAAAAGACCACTTGAGCTTTGACCATTTTAATCTAGGTCGCCTAAAATCTAAATTGCCGCAGAAAATTCTGAAATTGTCAGTATATAAGATTTATGACCTACTCTTTGCATCTGAGAGAAGTTTTGCTGTTTGAACGTTTCATTGAAAAGTTATGATTTTCGAGAAAAGCGACAAATCAATCAACTCTGGCGTTTTCTACTGTAAACTCGAAAATTATAACATTTACAGAGACATTCCAACAGCACAATTTTTTCTCAGATGCAGAGAATAGGTCATAAAGCTTATGTGCTGGCAATTTCAGATTTTTCTGCAGCGTTTCTGATTTTTGATGACCTATCTTAAAATGGTCAAAGCTCAGGTGGTCTTCTTTTCCCATATTTATATCCGCAATGAATGTATAGTAAAACGCCGAGAGAAAGCCTACAAAGGGGAAGACCTCATCTTTTTTAACAGAATTGAAAAGAAGCCAATCTGTCAAGTTTGCAAAGTTACGAATTTTCAAAATAGGAAACGACAAACTTTCGGGACAACCTAATATATAATAAGGGAATCCAAAACAACGTTCCGAATACTTTTTTGAAACTTTATCCATTCAGTCGTCACGTCACTTCAACGTCATAGAGACAAATGTGATATTTGATTAGCTGAAGTTAAGGCGAAATTTGGAGGGATGACGTGAGTCTGCGGGCAGAAAGGTTCGTAAAACTTCCATCAAACTGCTTTACTAACGAGAAAATTTTAAGTAACTTTTCAAAGAAACTTATAATTTTATTATTAAAAGACAATCACATTAGAAGGTACAAAGAGTGACTTTTATAGATATTTTCAAGTACAAAAGCTCATCTGAATTCCACTCCAGCACCGCCAAGCAAATTTGAAACAAAAAAACCCTTGCAATCAACCCCGCTCATTCTGACTTCTATCATCCATCAAAAACGGCTTTCACAGGCACCTGTCACCGGCTGACATAAATTCATAGATGTTTACGAAAAAAATCATCTCTTCATATTCATCTAATGGATACATTGTTCTGGAAGAATATTGCGTGATGCCTTTGCCTTGCTTTTCTCGCTGACATCCTGAAAATTGATGCTTATGCAGTATATACGCTGGAAGTTATTGAATTTCACATTGTCTTTCAGTTTCTTAGCCATTTCAACAGGAAAATTTCTCACGCAAATTCTTGAATATGTTCATGCTAGATTTGTGCTGAATATTTCCATCATCAAAATTCTGCGAACCACGATCTCCTAAAGACTTTCTGATAAACATTCTCTGAAACGGGAAAAATTATCGCAAACTCCTCTTTTCGTGCTCATCGGTTTTGTCCGCCTATTATTTCGTCAAACCAATATCAAACATTTACTAATCAATACTTTTATTTGGATGGCGTTCCTTAGCCAACTGTCAGGTCATTTACAAACACTGAAAGAAAAAACAGCCACTATGGCCGAAGGTGCGCCGGCTATAGGCGCACATCTGCAATCGCTCAAGGTAATTCAGGCATTATTGATTTATTGATCTCTAAAATTTTATTTACAGGAAAGTGCACCAAAGTTTATGGAAAGCGCATTGAACGCTAAAAATGGACTTTTAAACAAAGTGAGTGAATATTGTATCCGGAGTATCAAAATTGTGAGAGGGGAGGGGGGGGGGAGACAAAGTCAAGAGAAATTCTAAAAAATTTTAGGTGAAACTTGATTCTCTCGGTAAAGTACTGCACGTCTCCAGTCTGGGTCGAAGTCAATCACCAATCGATATTGTGCCAGTTATTACAACTTTCGGGGAACATTTACAAAATGCAGAGTTCAGGTATGATTTATCGATTTTATTGATCGTTTGTCGATCATAAGAAATATGGATAATGAATGGCCGACCTTAGCTAACTCAAAGCTCAAAAGGCACCTCATATTAATCAATCATGCCAAATAAATTCCTCCAGTCCACACCATACTCTTTCAAGCTTATTCAAATTGACCAATCAGCGTTCCCGGGTACGGTAGGTAGTACGATCTGGTCTGGACTCTGGAAGAGAATCTCGCGGCCATGATTAAATCATATGATCTGGTGTTTGGGCATTGGCTTAGTTGAAACCTTCCAAACCTCCCACCACTTAGTAACCCAGATACCCAAATTTGTTTGGAAAATGCAAGTGCGCAAAGTGGAAAACTCCGCCCCTTTTCAGAGTTGAATATCACAATAACGGCGACTTTCGCGCTACGAACACTGGCACAGCAGTATGGCTGTTACGTGAAGGAAACGATTCTGAGCTAGCAATGTCATTTTTACCTGAAGAACAATATCATCTCGATGCGGTAACATGGCATTGGGGCAGCGAACCAATGAACGGCTCAGAACACACGATTGGAGGTGAATGATACGGTAATCGGGAAAGGACGCAAAAATGGGTGTATTTGTTTTAGGTGTTGGATATGCTGGTGAATTACATCTGATTCATCGTAATACAAGGTTTTCCAATATGGAAATGGCTTTGAAACAACCAAATGGCGTGTTTACTATAGCGATTTTCTTGAATGTGAGTTGTTTTTTTTTTGCTTTTTAAAATTGGTATTTTTCAAAAAATAATCACGTATTTCCAGATGAGAAAAAATTTTGTTGTCTTTTATTTTGCAAAAAGCGTCTTGTAATAGCTTTACATACTGACATTAGCAGTACGATGACTGTGAGGGATTGGCATCTCTGCCACGCTCATTTTTGACTTGACACCAATTTTCATAGGTGAAAATAATTTTAATAAACGTCTTACGTGAATAGATTGTAAAAAATATTGAAGATACGAAATTAAATATTTGAAAAGCGACATTGTGAAAAAATATACTCGTATCGGAATTACATACTTTATAACTTCGATTTTTTTACACACATGCAAAATCTAATGTCTCTGCTTCACTCTCATCGGAAAAGCCATTTCCCATTTTTCTCTTCTCATATATCTCAAAAAGGCTGCTTATTATTCTTGACATTTGAAAGAAGCCATCTCATTCACCCTGCTATTATTTCGCCAGAAGATTTTATGATGCTAAATCATATAGCTATAAATCCATCCACACAACGATGTATGACGCTACCCATTATAGGAATCCCATGATGAGAACCCTGCCATTACACCATTCATCGAGCTTCTACCAAACATAACCTACAAGGGCAATGAAGTTCGTATCGGGCAGTTCAACTTTTCCGCACTTTTCCCGACAGCAGGTTTGCTTGAAAATGCGCATCTTAGACTGAAAGAAAAGTTACCATACCTTTTTACAGAGAAGACCAAAGAGTTCTGGTTGTACGAAGGTTCAGAGACGGTGGAACCGTTCCGTGAGACAGTGCAATGGTTGGTATTCCGTTCAGCGCTACCGATCAGCTCAGTTCAGGTCAGCGAAACTGGAATTGCGGTATTATTTCATACACTTAGTATTTTTTCAACAAATGCGCAGTTTTCTATATGCGCTGAGAGAAATTCCTGCTAATCTGGTGAACTAATTCGAACCTCAATACAAAAATTGCTAACCTTCATTAAATCGTTATGCGGAGCATTTTTTGAGTTAGATCCAAAAAGCGTGTTTATTCTTTCCCACTTAAGATGAGACAAAGCTCCAATTTTTGTTAGAACTTGTGAGCTTATGACCGCTCCTAATTCTACTAAAAAGATACAACGGTCACCCGAGTTGGGTGATGTCACTGTAGCATGTTCACTGCTTCAGAGTGGACGAATCTGAATCCAAAGACATCATTCGTTTAGCTCGACGAGGCGCATCTGCTGATATATAGAGGTGCCTGTTTGGTCACAGTGGGTGCAAGGTAGGCAGCCGGATTTCGCAAATCTTTGTAGTCATTCAAAGAGCTTATCCGCTGACTAATCTACAGCTAATGAAAATTGTAGTCTGGCTGCCTACCGTGGGCATACCGTATCCAAAAGGTGCCTCTATATATCAATGATGCCTCTCGTCGAGCTAAATTGAATGGTTCGGATTCAGATTGCGGCTACCCTGAAGCGATTGTTATTTGCAACTGAATTTTTGCCACTGAAGGTTATTTGAGATGTTTCCCACAGATAAAAGTTATCGATTCGTCAACGTTAAATCCCTCTGTAAGTTAAAGCTTCAGCAGGTAAAATTGGACTAGCGCATACCATTATTTTCACAAAAAACTCGCCATGAAATGAGCATTTGTTTAATATTTCGGAGAGTTTTAGCAAATCTAATGTACTGATTTTCGATTACCGGAATAGGGATAGTTGTTAGATGTTTTTTGACGATTCCAATTTTTGTACAACTTAGACTACCAAATCACTGCATTGAATGGATAGCTATGAGGATTAGAACAAGTGCAGGAGTTCACGCCTTTTTGCGGCTCCCAAATGAACATCGGGGACGAGTGGCGTAGTGGTATGAGGTGCCACTATGACCAGATCGGACACAGGTTCGATCCCCGCCCCTGGGCCAACCAAGCCCTCTACCCTCCGGGGCCAGTAAATTGGTACCAGAGTAATCTGGGAGGATAAAAGCACTGACTTGGAAACGGCTGGCCCCCGCAAGTCACTGTAATAGGCTCGCACGCATACAATTGCCTCTTCGACTATGAAGTTAGTGTGTGCGTTCGGCGCATGCCCCTAGAGGGTATTGAAGACGCCGAATCCTTTATCCTTTATTTATCCTTCAAATGAACATCTTCAACGCGTCCATTCGCTGCCTTCAAGCCGTTGCAGAAGCACTCAGGATTTCGTGCAAGTTTTGCGATATAAACACATGGGCGTGGAAGTTCATTTGGCGCAAAATTCAAAACGCGCGCTCTGTGGCGATTTTCTAACGAGCAAATGTTATCACCGCCGAAGCTCAACCAGAAGTTTCTCGCTACACATTCTATAATATATTTCATCTTCGGCTAATTTTAGCTGGATCGCCTTCGCGAGATCCGCTCTGGCGGTTACGACGAAGAACGAGAGACGCCGATGGTACCGATACGTCCGCCACAGGCACCGAATTCGCGCACGGTGCAGTGCAGTTTTCGCTCCGCAGCCGGTGCACCCGATCTCGGCTTCAACAAACAGTAGCGCAAGCGCGAGTCGGTCGGCAAGTGATGAGCCGTTGGCGCTCGTCACCAGCTGCTTTCCGTTTATCGCCGCTTGTGCGCAGCCGCCTCAGCTGAGGCGTTTATAGTCGTAGTCAGTCGTGGACAACTGTCACAATCTTCAAAAATTGCAGTTGTCCACTGATTATCCCTTCTACGGCTATGTAAACCGTATCTGTGAGCCTTTCTTATCAAACTGTAGTTTACATTCCTCTCTTCTCTCGGAACTGTGCAAGTTCTCATCCAACCTAGTGCATAAATACTCCAGTTCAATCAATAGCTATCTTATCAACTCTAGCGCATGCTATTTCACTTATACTATAATGGCCATAATCTGCTTTGTTTATACGCCTCATTTCTTGTGTGTAAGCTTTCAAAAACTTGTCGCAATTTTAATATTATGTATCTCGCAAGTGTTTTTTTTACTACTTTCTGACTTCTCTGTCATACGTAAAGCTTTGAACAGGCCTCTTGGAAATTCGATGTATTCAGTTCATTATCTGTCATCTATCATAATCAAATCCAGTTTTTATTTTTTCCTTTCTAACTCTACTATTGATATCCATTTTGATTTTCGATCTCGATCATCTCATCTTCACTCATGATCTCATGTAGTTAGAAATGTTGTCTATACATAAAACATGTCATCAAACGGTTTCAACGACATTGAAAAATGCTCCCAAGAATCTCCGAAAAAAGCGAACGTGCTCGGAGCGTGAATGGTATAGTCTATCTCAATCGCAGCGTCCCTTTTCACAGTTGCGCATGCGCAACGTAGGATTTCGCGTTTTGACCAATGAGGCTCATGCTGCTCAAGCCGCGCGAGGCGGATGAAAGCGAACAGGAGACACTGCGATTGAGACAGACTGTATGTCATTGGACGCGGCCGCCTATTCCATTGAAAGGGGGGAGAGAGGGAGAAATTTCATTTGCAGTCAGGAAGATTTGGTGCTATAGGAATTTCAACATTTGATACATTTGAATTTAAGTACGAAAGCTGCTGTTTTACCCTCAGCACGAATGAACAAAAACCTGTGAAATCATAAACTTTTACTTTCAAGATAGCAAACAATATCACAACATAAGATACAGGTAAAACAATATCAAACAATGAAGTGAATTTTGAGAGTATACAGAGGTGTAAAGGATAATTGCAATCTTCTGGGAAGGCACATGTACACGCAATTTTATGGTTCAGTAAACTATATATTTGCTAAATAGTATTATGCTTATCACCACGGTATTGCTTGGCACTTCAGTCTCAAAGTAGTAAACTAAGCAAGTCTCAAAAGAGTTATTACTAGTTGGTTGATCAACACAGCTGAAAAATGTAAAAAATTACAAAGATAGTGAGAAATAAATAAAATCACCTGCACTGAACCAAAATGAGAATAGTGTTCAAGATTGTCAACAAAACAAAAAGGAAAGAAATAGAAACTGATTACTAAAATTGTCAAACTAGTGTACACGTAAGATTAGTATCATAACTTTTGTAAGTCAAACAAATCATCCTCATCTTCTTCATCACTTTTGTACAACGGTATACGTTCGAATCCTTCTCGACTACCCGTGAAAAAGCCCCGCCGGTTCAGCACTGACGTTACACGTTGCCGACATGCGAATAGCTAGAAATTGTATCATGTAGCAAGAAAAAAGTATTCTCGAATCATTTGTAACATAATATGTAATGCACACTACGCGCGGTGACCGACGACATTCTTGCTGCTGACTCCTCAGTAAAACCTTTACGGCGAAACAAAGTCTAGGAATGTGTATTACTGACTGATATATACATATCCAGCCAAATAAAGCAGACAAGGAAACAAAGAGATATTACAAATTAAGCAACTTATTATCGTCAAGTAGCGCGCATGTGTGCAATATGCATATTGAATTGCAAATGTCTCCCCGATGTGTATTTTCCAAAATGAAAATGAAAACGAAAAAGAACTGGCAAAATGGATGATATAATAAAATCCAGTGAAACGTCAGGTAAACTCACGCAAGCCAGCATCAGCAAGAACACTACTGTCGCTACGATTACGATATTGTTACGGTAGAAAGAGCGATGCACATAGATCCATTTCTCCGTTATAGGATACGAGTTTGTGATCTATAATATACACAAAGCTGATTTTTGTTCATTGTCCGCCATCGCAGAAAACGCTTAAAGTTGAGACATACCTTAGCGTTGAACTGTGTATACAGTTTTCCATCTTTGAAAACTTCGATGTGGTGTGTGCCATTTGGAAGGCCAATAAATACGGAACCTTCCGTCTCAGATGTCAACCTGATTGTTCGTGGTGCTAATTTTTCTGGTTGTATCATCAAATTCTTATCATCGCCAAAAATACGAACGCCTTTGATCCTGAAGCAGCACTCTCATTTCAGGTTTATCCCAATCTCTAAGCTTACCTTTCATTCATCATAGCTATTATACTTCTTCGATTTTCCGCATACAAGTGTCCGGATCCTAGATCTTCGTAGCAACAACTCGTCTGTACAAAAAGTGCATCTGGAGCCAATGGCCATGGCTTCGAAAAGTCCCACTCGAATGAACCCCAGACATTGTGCTCAGATTTTATACCTTGAAAAATAATATTGCCCCGATCAAATATCACCAAGAATAACATAGGGAACAAAAACTATATGCAGAGATGCGCAGACAACAAAAAACCCGAAGTATTCAATTTTAAGCTATAGATGTTTTCTGATGCACGGTATGGACGTCATCACGTCTTTTTATAATTCTTCCAGGGACTAAAAAAGGTAGTTGAGATGTGCAACTTTAGACGCTCTGCAAGTGCTCATACCGTTCACCAAGCTATTCACTTTTGTATCTTATATAGCAATCCGGCTACAAAACCAAATTTGAAGTGGTAAAGAACAAAATCAGAAAATCAAACGCAGTTTTATATTTGGATTACATGTTCTTACCATCATTATAAGGTGTGAAGTCATAATACGGGTCTATATCAGCTGTTCCTCGTGCTATAAACTTGTGTAATTAGGAAATCTCAAAAACGATACTCTTCAATCAAAAAATTCTGCCAAATGCAGCTAGATAGCAAAATAATAATGTGTAGTTAAAATTAAAGTTAAAATTGTCAAAATCTTAACAGAGTATTTGGCACTTGGTACGCTATTATTTAAGAAGTTACTTTTGCGAAGGCCACTTTCAGTACAGTTACCTCAAGTTTCTCAAAATAGATGAACAAAGTCCCTATATCTTTCATCGTGATTAATATAGAAAGAAGCTGTAATGCCACGAAGCCCAAAATACAAATGTCCTGGATTGAATTGAGGGCCATTATTTCAATGAAACTACAATTTTTTATGGTGGCCACAGCAATGTATACGTCACTTGGACGTAACTGTACCCATAATCTACAAAATTGTATTTCTTATGCAGTGGCACAGAAGCATGAAATAGAAGTCTAACGATGAAAACGAAATGCAGGTTGCAGCAAATTACCTCCAGTACAGATATTTTCCCCATCGATAGCCATTTGTGTGTGATGAGCTCTGTAGACGCTCGCCATTCTCTCAGCAACTCCAGCTTTTGACGCGATGTACCGCACCTAATCACGAGTTTTTGCTTCATCCAAAAAAAATCAGAACAATAGCTGCGAACGTCCCAACAACGAATAAAACTACCTTTAATCCTCCACTTCCAAACATGACCACATAGTCAATCTGCGGCACGATGCTAACGACATCGTTTACCAAGGCTTGGAATGGAGCAAGCGTCGAGTAATCATGACAATTCAACTAAATTCGAAAAATCTCTTGAAACGGTCATTCATTTTGAAGTGCAAGACATACCTGGGTGTGTGGGATTTCTGGCATGAAGACCAGCGTTGATTCTTTCAAGATCTTGTCCACTCCCTCTACTATGGGCGAATTACACCAGGTTGACATCATTTCAAAGACAAGGGTTTCGGTCTTCTGAAAAAAAAAACCGACTAAGAAAATCTTTCAAAAGTACCAATCCTCGAGAAATCTCACCTTTTCAAGCGCCATTACTAGTGTGTATGGTGGTTGACCGCTACCCATGCGGTATAATTTCAAAAGAGGAGTTGGAGTTGGTATCGTGTAAAGACACTGTTTGTTCTCCAGATATGGTATAGAAGCACTGCAACAGAAAAGAAAATACGCGAAAAAAACGATTGCAGATACAAGTTACGTCTTTTAAATTTTCAAAGAACCAACCTTGTCACCATAATGACTTGGTCTGGAGTGAAATGATCACTAGGATTTGCTGATGGAACAACTGAGAATTCTTGAACGGTATCCAAAGTGATAGTTTTCTTTAACATCTAAATCTTGCAAACCTCAGAATACGATCTAATTCAGAAAAGTGAAGAACCACAGTAAGAATGAACACGAAAATAGGTCTCACTCACATCGACAACGCTTCCGACTGTTGCAGCTTTCTTAGCCAGGTCAGTGGAATTGTCGCAACCCATGGCTATACCTAACTCGAACGCAGCGTGCAACCGAAGATCATCCATCTCTAGTGCAAGATGCGCATCTCGTAGTGGTCTGAAGCATATCAATATTTATCTTTAGCAATTCGTCAACATGTACAAATCTCAAAAAAGAAGCTTCATGAAAAATAACGGATGAAATATTTAACTGCAAAAATAAACGTATGCAATAAAGCCCTTTCCTCTTAAAAAAATTTAAGGGTGCAAAAACAAGTCCAAAACTTAGGTGAAATAAAAAAGAAGGAATAATGATATATGAATATTGTGACAAACTTACGTCCCGCAGTTCTCACCAAATCCAATAGCTTTGGTGAGACTCTTGTCCAAGCTATCCTTATTGAACAAACGGGGCTGATTCTGAGTCGGGCTGAACGTGATGGCTTCGACAAATCCATCAGAAATTGCTAATACTACAGCCGGATTGAATCGTTGTAGCTTCTAAAATTTTATTACGTCATTTTGCGCCAAAAATCATGCCTTCAGCCCTACCTCAACAGCATCACCAGCTTTTATCGCAGGAGCCATTATGAGGTGAATGTCCCTGTCTAGCTCGAATTGACCCGAACATGTTTGATTTGAGAATACTCGTATGATTTCGGATGCGCTACAATTGCCACGATGCAGGCGATGAAGACAGCATAAATGGAATTTCAACTAACCTTGGAGAAATGCCAATGACAGCAATACGAACGTTACCGTTTCCGCGAAAATACACAGATTCATTTCCCCAGCGAGTACCGCAAACATTCAGTGTGAAATCATGACGGACACCTTCATGACCAAGAGTCACTTCAAAAATGTCTGATTCTAATCCGGGAGCTTCCACTCTGAGCTAAAAAGAAAATTACCAAAACAGATAAGAATAATCTAACAGTAAGTTCTGTACAAATAAAATTTTCTGATCATACCAAAGGTGCACAAATTTTAGAAACAGCAAAGATGATGGAAAAGGTACATAAAGACTTACGCTGTGTCTACCAGGTGGCAGCATTCGCCAGTACTCTCCCAGGTTCGTAGCATTGATAACTTTTCCTAAAACAAATTTTATACGCAAAAATCTGAAGGCCTGCAAAAGAAAAAAAAGGAGCTGATGACCACAATACTTTTTTTGAAAAATACCAATAAGTTTGAAATTTTCGAGAACAGAAAATGAGTAATGATCAAAGGCAGCAAATTGAAAAGAAGAGGAATTGGTGCACCCGAGGATCGATTCCCGTGCTCTTTTCAGGCCATAAACAAGTAATACTGGCGGATGAAAAAGAAACAAAATGAAGAAAACGAAAAGTAAAATAACGCAAGATTTGAAAAAAAAGGAAAAAGGTATTACCTTCCTCTACAGCTACTGTTGCATTTAGCGCCGGTTTTCCTTCGGCGTCCAGAATTAGTCCGTAGACTCCTTGTTTTGCCATTTGCAGATATGATAGCAAGGCGAATTTATGCTCATACCATATCCTAGAATTAGGAGCATCGGAAAACGTAGCTGCAGCTGCGAATGTCACTAACTTCGGCAGGAACTCATTCGGAGGAAACTTGTAACAGCCCATCTCGACGGTGACCTCAAATGCGTTCGTGTTTATGTATTGCCAATCTTGCATGCCACCAGCTAAATGGTACCTAAAAAAAGCTGATCATGAAGAATAGTGATTAAAAAAGTTTTGTAACCAACCAGCCCGCTCCATTAGTGATCCCATTCAAAAACACATCTCCATCTTGAGCAAGTCCGCAGCGTCGTCCTGTTTTCCACATTCTGGTGTGAGCTTTAGCGTAACGATATGAAAGTTCAACAAAAAGCTTGTCGTCTGGGCTCTGAACAAGAAAATAAAAGCAGCTGATTTTGTACCGATAACTCTCTATAGGGATGTAAATTCAAGATACAGAATTTGGATATTCAAAAATCACTCTGTCACGGAACGATATTATTTCAATGCGAACATATCAGATACGGAGTAAAAAGAAAATAATCAAATGACAGGAACCTAGAATCTACCATATAAGCCATCCCGCAGATAAACCGGCCATCGCCCTAGGTAGATAAGTCCTTCCTTTAAACAGTCCGCAGATAGAGAATTGAAATCGAACGGACTTATCTGTTAAGGGACTTATCCGCCAGCGGAAATTTCTTGGAGAAAAAGTGAAATTAAATATAAATTCTAGAGTAACTTGAAGAAATGCAGTGCATAAATTTAGTAGCGTTTACAGAAACAAATTTCAAGGAACGACATGACGAGAGCAAAATCAAAACAATTAAATAATATCAGAAAAAACGATAATAATGATTATATGGAGAGAAGCAAAGATACTCACAGCAGCATAGGTATCTTGACCAGTCACTGAATCATCGTAGGGATAATTTGTCACTAAGGATCCTAAAACATCACCATACACAATTGCCTATTACTTAAAGGCAGCGTCCGGGCAAAAAGTCGATTTTGAGATTTTGTGCTTACCCGGGCCTATTCGCTATGCTGAATCCGAAAATTACCACTAGAGAGCGCGAAAACGGCGAAAAATGGGTCTAACGCAGGAGGAAAATCAGCAGGGGGCGGAGCGTCCGAGAGGGTGGATTCTCGCTTCCAGCTTCCGGAGCAATCTTCTCGGTTCCGATCTCAAATCACTCGTTTGTACTTGGCCGGTAGCGATGTTACGGCGACTAAAGGAACCGAGAAGATAGCTCCGGAAGCTGGGAGCGAGAATCCACTCTCTCGGACGCTCCGCCCCCTGCTGATTTTCCTCCTGCGTTAGACCCCTTTTTCGCCGTTTTCGCGCTCTCTAGTGGTGATTTTCGGATTCAGTATAGCGAATAGGTCCGGGTAAGCACAAAATCTCAAAATCGACTTTTTGCCCGGACGCTGCCTTTAAAGAAAGTAAAGATACGAACCTCCATGGAAATTAGCGCTAAGTACAAATGGGTAAGATTTCATCCACTTCATCACAGCTTCCGTCTCCGGTTCAGGGACTGTTCCGCCAGATATTTCTCGATGAGAAGGAAACAGCGCCGGGAAATTGCGATTCAGATCCACATTATGTTCATTACTTCTGCCCTAGGTGAGATTCATAGTGAGTGCTTTATAAAAAAAAGCAATCAGCCGAGTGAGAACTTACTTGGTAACCGATTCGATCACCAACAATGCCATGCTCATAGCCGTCCGGATTCATAGATGGCATAATGTGAATTCGCTGCTTGTTCACCAGGTCGGTGAGGTAATCGTTTTTACCGTAATTTACGCAAAGAATTTCGATCAAGTACAGAAGCGTCTCCCGTCCAACTACCTGAACGGATGCATTCTAACATGTTCTATCCTCCAGAAATTAACATTTTACCTCATTTCCATGCATATTCCCAACATATTTTACTTCAGGTTCCAAAAGCTCGTGTTCTCTAGGATTATCAGATATAATGAGTACCCATAGGTCTCGACCTTGTACGCTTTTCCCAGCTGAGTAGAGGTAGGTTATGTTGGGATAATTCAATGCAGCCGCCTAGAAATTAGTATTTATCAGAGACGTCAGGAAGATGCTGACCATATATCAACAGAGACTTAACAATCCGATAAACGGCATAACATCTCACCCCAAAAATAAGATAAACTAAAGATAGAAGAGGAGCGATATATGGTTGATAACGAGAAGCCCGTGAACAATAAACTTGTGTTCATGATCACCTCAAACGTTTTAATCTCATCAACATCAGCATTTTGGTTGCGAGAAACTAGTCCTGGGACAATTTAGTGTGTTCTAAAGGCAAATTTTCGAATTCTCGTTCAACGCTCGTCAACGATGTATATGACAAGTGATATCACTACTTACCAAAATTATATCACGATTGTAGAATACGAAGAACATACCTTCAACCAAGCTGTCATGGCGGCATAGTCATGGTTCACCAGTTCTGATTTATTTACGTCTTCAAAATCTCCCACTCTAAATATGTATAGATTTCAGAATCTGTCCCAATGTTCTTCAAGTGGTAAGTTCATAGTACAGCACACAATTTTTCGCCAAGACGCGCCGCAACCGCTTGCCCCGTGTTTTTCTCCCTTTTTCTTCCATAATTCTCAATTGTAGATCAATGATCAGTAATTCATGATGCTTTGAGCGAGGGAATCAAAAACTGTGGGATCTACACTTTCCTTCAACGGGATTGGCGGCTGGAAGGCGGTCTTTGAGGCCTAATCAAGGCTAGAGAATGACCAAAGATCACGCTCGCGACAGAGATGCAAACTGCGTCGCGGATGCGTCGCAAGCGGTCGCCTTCTAGCCGCCAATCCCCTTGAATCAAAGAATACTTGCACATGACACTTTTTGACAAACGGAAGTTTGCAGCGCGATTTGGCGGGAAATCCTTGCGAAAACTGAGTGCGAACAACCATACATGTTGACTAATCAACAAATCTTGAACAAGCTCAAGAAAAAAAATTGAAAATCATCTAGGAGTTGATAGAAAAATAAGCAACGTACATCTGTTTCATCACTTCGTAACTTGGGAAAATGGTCACGTCGTTCTTGCTCGCGCCAAAATGCATGGACAAGGCATCTTTCTGTAATTGCACAACTAAGGAAATTTGGATACAAAAAAAAAGAGAAAAATCACTGATACCTCGGCAAGTTCAGCCTCCGTCGGACTGGCAATGATGTCACTGTCCCAGTTGATTTGGCTCGTCTGGCTCGTGGCTACATGGCACGACGCCAGTAGCAACAGCGTCGTGACGTAGCGGCTCAATGCCACGAGCCGCGCCCGCATCACGGGCATCTGAAACATGTGCTATAGGCTGGTAAGGGAGAAAATAGGGAGAAAGCGATAAAACGATTGCAACGAAGAAACAGTGTCACGACAATGCACTAATAGGGATCGCAATATGTGCAAACATAGTGAATATTTATGATCCAATTCAGGCAAACACACTTTCATAATCGAACGAGAAATGACACTGTCTCTTCAAAAACTCCCGGGTAACTGAATACTATCGATCTTTTCTTTATGTAGGAACAAAAATGTGAATGACGTATGAGTTTGAGGGAGACAGAATAGGTAGGAAGAAAAGACATTCTCTTTCCAAACTGACATCAAACTAGTTTGAAAGATGGTTTTTGAGACAAAGTATTACCAAAACAAGTTCTCTCTGACTAACGGGTTGTATACCTCGGCGAATATGAACTTAGCCACCCTACAAATCTCCAAAAAACTATGAGTAATATCACATCTGCATTTTTCAATGTATTTCAGAAAATCGACAAATTAAGTACTGAGACTAATCGAAAAATTTGAAGAATGTGTTCACAAAAAATAGAAATTGGATTCAGAGTCATTTATATATGAGTGACTGACAAAGATTAAAGGAATAAAAACACAAGAATAGTTCTACGGAATTAAGAGATATTCAATAGAATTGAACGGAAATTTCTTGTTCGTAGACGAAACATAAGTGTCAGATCCTTTAATAAAAGATTAGATAGTCCAGCAGATGATTCGTGCTAACTGAATGAACAAACAAATTTATAAATTTGTACATGCTATAAATTCAACGAAATTTGAAGGTAGTGTACACAGACGGAGAAAAACGTAGAAGACTATTCAGCGTCAGAAAAACAGCTACACAGTGAGATGATCGATACGAAAATAACGTACTTTCTTCAGTGCGATTAATTTCCTAAAAAGAATTTTTAAAGAATTTTGTGAGCTCACTCGTGACATAACTGAGTAAAGAGCGTACCTTCATGACTACAATCAGCCAAACATTCATAGAATATATTCACGGTGCCTTCACAAAATAATTCAGAATAATTTTATGTTGTAATAGTGTAAGGTCTTATTGCATCAAAAAAGTCTTTTATTATTAATGTGCTCTAAAGCGCCCTCACAGCATGCAGTCAAGGTAGGATGTAGCAAAGACAAAATAAACTAAAAATAATTAATCACAAAACAAGGCTACTACGAAAGTGATTAAAAAATTGTGGAAAAAATCGAAGATAAAACCGTCAAGATTATCATCATGTAGGATTTATGATACGAATTAAATAAATCTGCAACTAAGTACACCGCACGAAACATAATCAAATGTATTAACGGGCAAAAAGAGTACTAAATGTTACGAGAGCGTATAGAAGATGGTGAGAACATTGAAAAACCTATGTATCAAAGAGCTATGCCCGGCAAAATACCACAAAATCTGTAATTCACAGTAAATTTATTCTTTTTCTGAAATAAAGACTCTCCAATCTTAAGGTGTTTCACCGCAATGCGCAGAAATTGATAAAGTTACAGGACCCAAACTGCAAATGATTCGAACAACAAATATCACGTAATTGAGTGTTCCTCACACACAAAAAGGAAGCAATTCTAGCCCGAGAACAGGTAAGTCCCTCCCTCTTCCCAATGAGTTGGCTCAATAGTTCTCGCCAAACTTTGACAGATACGTCAACGGTAGTTCAACGGTGGGTAATCGACGCAGTGCGCGCCACGCCTACTCGACGACAATCAGGGGACAATGTGTTTGAATAGCGCTGGCACAGAAAGTCTCATTCGGGGACGGCGCGGCGACGACCTTCATGGGGGTCGACCCCCGTTTGGACTGTCTTTTGTCAGTATGATGGGAAAACGATACGATCGAAAAATGCATGCAAATTGACGAAATTTCACGACACGTGGAAGTATGTAATCATTAAGTGCTTTATGTTTGCATTATCAATCATAAACATGTACGTTTCTGCCGTTAATGCTTGGGAAAAAGAAAAGGCGATTACCATGGAGGCGATTCTCCAATAAGACTATGTTAAAGAAAGATTATTCATGAACAAACACTCAAACGATTTAGCGATGTGGGAAAGATGTAAAATAGGCGTATATAACACTCTACTCGATTCCTAGGGCAAACAAATTTGATAAGTATCATAGTTTTTTCTTATTTTTCGATATCAATTGTGTTAAGGAATCTGGAAGCATGAGCAGCAGCATATAGGCATGATGAGATGTGATGAAGCGAAAGCAAGAAAAAAAATATGAAAAAGAATTAAGAAACTTGAAAACAGAAGCACACTCTCTATCGGATGTGTAGTCACTCAACGACGCGAAGACCAAAGCTGGCTTATATGTTAGTGATAACAAACTTTTTGCTCCGATTTTGACGCAAAGCCATGTGACACGAAGCATGAGCACAGAAAACTACTCCATATCACTTTTAAAACGTACAAACTCACTCTTTTTCCCTAAAATGACAGCAGAGAGCTAAATGGAAGGCAACTCGTTTTGTAAGGTTTAGTGGACAAAATACGAGCGATAAAGAGCCAACTGGCGTAACTGCAGCCTTTTTCGCGTATAAAGAACGATAGAGAACTGAAACCTTGCCAATTCCTCGTGACACTGTTTTTGTATCCAATGAGTCATAATTATACCTGGCGATGACAATGAGATTATTCATTAAAAACTGGTGGTTCAGCTTGGCTCTTGGAAAATGGTGACGCTAATCATAGTGAAACCACAAGATACGTAGAAAAAGCCTCATTTATAACACTCCACAGGCTGCATAGTTAGTAAAAGCTCAATAACGAAAGCTAGAAATCCACGTAAGATTTTTGATCACGTGATGGAAAATCCGATAGCATTACAGGAACTCATGAACTATGGAAACACGATACAGGCTGTCTCAAAAGTATGTATACACTTTTTGATCGTCAATAACTCTACTCCCAATAAGTCTTTTGCATGCCTTCAGGCACAATTTTGTAGAGCTGGCTTCAACTTAAATCTACAGTATGGAGCAAACCACCGATCGCTCTCGCTCACTGTACAATTTCGATAGAAGTAGGAACTTCTATCTTACAGCGTCATTGTATTAGGTTGGTGCAAAAGTAATGGCCGATTTTCCAAACCTTTTTTCAGGGCAACTTTTTTCCATCAATACTTCTTCTTTACAGTGGATGTAGTATACCATCGCGAAGCTGTTTCCATGCTCTATCTAAAGGTGCTTGAAACGTGCTCTCATCTTCATCTGTTATAAAGCTACTGAGCTTCAAATAACTGCATCCAAACTCAGAATTTCATTGCTTTCACTTTTCCGACCAGTCAAGCGCGTATCAATGGTATTTCTTCGAAAATTTAGCTATTGTATGTAATAGAAATTGTCTACATTAAGCATACTTGATGTGTTCTTTGAGGCTATCCAGACTGAGATATTGGCGCCTAAACATGGGTAGCTGTTGCGGTCATTTTATGATCCATAATTTTTTTCTGAGGAAGTCAGTCGCCGAAGCTTTGCACAATTCTGTAAGCGTAGAGCTAGGACATTTATTAGCAGTTTTTGCAAAAACATCTAGCTGTTCAGTACCTAAAAAATCAAAAAATTCTATACTCGGGACTTTGAAGCACACTAAAAAAATTTTCAAAAAAGTGAGAAATTTCGAAAAAAAATTTATTTCTTTTTCGCAAACTTTTCTGTCCGGATTCTTTTTATTGCGTTTTGTACTACTAGCTTGCGGCTAGAAGATAGGCTACTTAACAGTTATACTAACAAACTTTGAAGGAAGATATGAATTGTCAAAGACAAGGTTCTAGCAGAAGAACCTTTTTTATTTTTCAATCCATTTTTTTCTGCCCGTTCGTGATATGAGTATAAAAAAATGTGCGCTGCATTGCAGAAGGTTTGCTGCTTCTGATAGTTTTTACCGCATTCGGAAATGTGAATTCTTCCAAAAGTTATAGCACGTCAAAGTGAGAATTCGCAAATCGGCTATTACTTTTGCACCAACCTAATAATTATCCGTGTTTCAAAAAAAATCAAGAATTCTGAAAAATAATGCGTCAAGAATATTGCGCGCTCTGATTTCATTCAACTTTTTAGAAGCTTGTGAAGTTTTTGAACGGTGTAATAACAATTTTAGTAAGCATTGTAAAGACAGCAATTGTGGTCTACCTGTCATAAGTTATGAAGAGAGCATTCGGTAAAATGCGAAGTTCGTATTTCTTTTTAGCGACTCTAATTTACCTACTGTACGAGTTCCCAGGTTGTTTGATTTGCTTTCTGAGGCGAAATAGGCCTCTCAATGGCTCGAAGCCCTTCATGAAGTTCCTACCGTGATGCTCATTAATAAAAAAAATCAGTGATTCGTTCCATGCCATAGATCTAACAAGGGAAGTTCACTTAGTCGAAGTGGCGATTCGGAAGGAGATCTATACCAGTGGAAAGAGCTTATAAAGCTGATCTCAGATAAACCTTCTATTTCTGCGATGCGTTGTTCTGAAAAAAGTTATGAGCTTTTCTAAAGCCAAATTTTTGTGCATTTTGTGTCGCAAAGTCATGATAATCGTTAGACAAAAGTGTGCAAGCTCAAGCAAACCACCTAGTTAGCATTGTAGATCTAATTCGAGCTCACTCGAACGCTTTCGAGTGTTTTTCGACCATGTTGTTCAACCACAGGTCGTCATTTCATTCCTAGATCACACTTCCATTATATATACAAAAAAGCCCCATAATCTCCATCCAGAAAAACGCGTCGCGTCGGAAATTTTTTGGAAACTATCGATGAATGAAACGTAAAACGATGTTCTCAAATGTATCTTCAATATCTGCGACGCGCTTTCTAAATGGAGGTTATGGGTTTTTTTATAATGGAAGTGTGATCTAGGAAGGATATAACCCCCTGTGAATAAACAACATGGTCGGAAAACATTCGAAAACGTTTGGATGGACTCGAATTAGACCTAAAATGCTTACTAGGTGGTTTGCTTGAGCTTGCACATTTTTGTGTAGGGATTATCATAATTTTGCGAATAAAAATGCACTAAAATTTGGCTTTAGAAGAGCGCATAACTTTTCTCAGAACAACGCATCGCAGATATAGAAGGTATATCTGAGATCAGCTTTTTAAGCTCTATCCACTGGCATAGATCTCCTTCCGAATCGCCACTTCGACTAAGTGAACTTCCCTTGTAAGTTGAAGCCAGCTCTACGATTTGGTACCTGACGGTAGGCAAAAGATTTTAGGAAAATGAGGCAATCTTATAGCGGCCTCCTGCTGATTCCACTGAAAATTGGGACTCACGGCTTAGAATGTGCAAGTGAGGGTCAATCCAAATCCATTTCAAACGCTTACAGTAGATTTTTTCTATATTTCGGTATCTAGTAAAGCTTAGCAAAACGGTATTTTATAATCATTTATTCTTAGTACACAAACACAACAATAGCGAGCACTTTATTTTGTAATTTATGATGCATGACAAGTTGGAAAGATCGAAGGTCGTCGTAATATCATAATCTTCTCTACCTTATTTTTTTCGTTCCTGTATTCTTCGCGCATAATCACAACCACATGGTGGCTACATAGAACAACATGGAATTCTCTAGACTTAAAGACTCTGACAGTGACATAAGTCAGTTTCACGTGATTGCCCGGTCTTCAGAAAATTTGTCAAGCTACATAGTAGGCAATGCGTAACGCAATTTCACTTATGTAGAATGCGAACAATATTCTAAATCCTAAAGAAAAAGATCAATCCTTTGAATGGACAGGAAAAACGAGAGAGATAAGAAAAACAGGAACAAGTAGCGGCAACAGAATAATAAGCTCAGATTTAGTAAGAATTCAACTTTCAGTCTATCAGTGAAGAGAAAATGAAGAGCTTAATTACAGATAAGATCCTTGTTTTTTCGATCTGATGCACTATTCCTCGTTATATTCGTCGGAAAATTTCGGTAATCCGTAGTTCCGCTGTCATGGTCCTTTTTGGTCCTTTTGGAAGACAATCATAAGAAAAGACTTTTATTTGGTCTGCTGACTATAATAACAGACTATCTTAGCAAAATTCATAAAGTTTCAACTACAATAAAGAGTAAATTCGCAGTAGCTAAGTTTTTTTTTTTGCATAGATCCACATCTCTCCCATAGATCTGCAGGTTCGAGTTACAAGCTGAATTGTATACTTCTTTACATCTTTCATTGACCAGCACGCAGATTGCACGACCATTCTTCATTGCCTCTGGCTCAAAAATTGGACATTTGTGCAAAACTGCATTCGTGACGCATATTTTAACAAATAGCTCGAGTAGATCGAAGATCCGGTTAGCGCCTACGATGCAAACGTCAATTACTTGGAAACCAAATTTTCCCCAAAACAAGCATGCAAAATTTTATTAAAAATCAAACTGTTTATCGCTGTGTCCAATCCGTATATCACTTTGACTAACTTCTTTTTCCTTAGATACACCAAACCTGACTGCATGAATCCTCTCTGGAACACCCACAAATTTTATTTATATGAACTCTTTTGATAATGCAGAAGTGATCTAATATGATTGAAATTGTTTTGGATGTTCTTACCAGGTAACTGCATCCTGCATTCTCAAGCATCACTTCAGTAGTTCCTAATCAAGAAAACATAAATTTCAACCTCAGTTGCAGCAAATGTGGAGGGCTAAATTTTCGATCTCTCAAACTGTAAAAGCCACTGTTCATCGCTGAAGGAGCATGCAAAAGGAATTTCTGGTTGAACATATGACGCAAAAGGCTATACTATCTTATATATAAAGCTGAATGTCTGTCTGTATGTATGTCTGTATGTCTGTCTGTACGTATGTGCGGAATAGAAATTTTTATTTCTGAACCGATCGGGACCAAACTTGGCACACATATACTTCGGGGCAGGGAGCGTGTCATAGGCTACTTTTCGTTATCGATCGATATCGATTTTATCGATTTTTTGCAAAATTTGAGCTAGGGGGCTGGGATTTTGCACAGGGGGGTAATCGAACATGCTGATCACCCCCGTGGGGGTGATCAGCATGTTCGATTACCCCCCTGTGCAAAATCCCAGCCCCGTAGCTCAAAATTTGCAAAAAATCGGTGAAATCGACATCGATCGATAACGAAAAGTGGACTATGACACGCTCCCTGCCCCGAAGTGTATGTGTGCAAAGTTTGGCCCCGGGCGGAGCCGGGTTTGCCATCTAGTAAAGCATAAAAAACAATATTAGCAACTTATTTTCCAAAATAATAAGCTACTGGCACAGATTTTGAAATTCAATTTCGTCTTCTAAGACTTGATAAACATCTACGTACCACAAAAGCAGATGAGCAATGTGCTTAGAAGCTACGAGGGAACGCAAAACAGATATAAAGTGCTCACATCTGGAAGGAAACTAGCGGATGGGCGAGGCTAGATTTAATAAAAAAAGATCGATCAATTAACAAAACGTCTTCCTTTTTTTCTCGTCAGAATGTTAGTCAAACTTATAAATTACCGTTAAATATAAGTCTTTCCTCAATATATTGATATTTTCGAAGAAAAACTTATAAGAACATCATGACATCACTAGAAATATCAAAAAGAAGTATTTCTCAAGTTTCTGCGCCACTTTACCGAGCGCTGCAAGATTCAGTGCAAATAAACATGTCGACTGAACTCTGCGCGAGGGCAAACATAAAAAAATATTTGAACTCTAGGAATACACATGAGAAAAAATTGTGTTAAGGGAGTGTTTAGTTCACGAAAGATTACAACAAAGCTTCTGATTCGTATCAGTAAATTCGTTGAAAGGACGAAGCGATGATTTCTTGCCGACTTAACATCTGCTCCATAAAAACGGAACGACTTTCGGCGTCGTGAATTTTTTTTGTGCGGCGTGCTCGCAAAATGCCATTGACTTGCAAATGGTATAGCACAATAACATTGAACAAATAGACTTTATAAAGAGAGATTCAAATACTGCGATTTAAGGGCAAAATATGTACCAGAACTGACCAAAATTCAAGGTCCGATTAATGCAAGTTTCAGAAGGAAACTCCAAGCAACACTTACAGTTAGCTGACCTAGAAAAACTTCACTCGAGTACGCGACCCTAATCGGGCCAAGCGCTCATCCGGCCACTCAAAGGCGTTTTTATTCTTACCCAGAACGCTACCGCGAAACCGCAATGAATGATAGAGCTAATAAAAAGAAAGAATGTTGGCTGAGTGAACTTCGAAACGTTTATTGAGAGAGAAAATTCCTTGATAACGGCGAGATGTGTCATGAATCGATGTAGAACAACAGAGAAAGACGTCTGACTGTCTGACAAAGTGCAAAAAGAACTCTGAATGGCCAACTCGGACGCTCGTATCGTGCCATTATAACGGACAATGAAGTGCGAGCAACACTGCTCTCGTTCTCAAGAACTGGTTACTTCACCACACAACGGCTTCGGTATTTGCCCTTAAAGCTCAAAAAAGGTTATAAAATGCTGTACATCAGTAGATAAGATGTGTAGAACCATCTAATGAACATATGCTATTATAGCACCAAAACACCCCTCAATGTAACAACAGCGAGTAGATTTTCCGCTTAATATAGTGCTTGCAATTTAGATGAAATGCGGTAAAATTTGCGTGTAAAGATTAGCCACGCCAGTAATGCCGGCATTCTGCGCATACAATTGGCTGGCGTCACAGGCGTAGCTATTTGTTCACGCGCAAATTTTTACCGCATTTCACCTACAGTAAAGGCACACTATATTGAGTGGAAAATCTACTCGACTGTAAATGCATTTGGTATAGCAAGCTGAAAAATGAAGATCTATCCTAAAGAGGAAACCCCAAAAAGGAAGAGGCTGCCCATTGAAACCTGACTCTCAGTTCGATAAATGATGATTTTGATGAATGCCGAAGTAAAGAATGCAAAAGAGTGCAAAGTTTCCATCAAGAACGAAGACAGAAAGGCAAAGTGCCAAAAAGATCGAAGCCACAGAAAAGGCGAAAAGCCATGCTAAGCGGAGAAATGCAGTCCATCAAAACCTCTTCATGTAGGGAGGACAAAACGGAAGAATCCAAATGATTTCCTTTGGATACGAACACAATTTGAAACAAAACTGCAACTCATAGAAAAATGAGCAATGATGAGATTCCCGAATGTAGCCACGTAGAGAAATACCATCGAAAGAAGGAACAAACTGCAGCACATACGCGAGATTTATATCATAGATGGATGTAGCAAGAGGAAAATTGAGTAGGAAGCCATAGAAATAAAGTTGCTTTTCCCCTTTGGGAGTAAAACTAGCAAAGACCACAGAAAGACTGCAATCGCACATGCAAAGTTCAAAAGACAAACCGTAAGCACCGCTCAAAGATCACTTGAAGGAAGTTTTTCATGCTTCTTTAACAAGAAATCCTCGAAAATACGAACAAACAAATTAATAAAAGCCAGCACGAGAATTGGTATTTATAGACAGACCTTTGTCACTTCTGAAGCACATCTTACATATGCAATTCTTTATTTCAACATGACGAGAATAAAACTCAACCATATTCTGATAAAAACTCTGCTCAACTATAACAAGGAACAAGAACCTCAACAACATGCAAGTGCTGAAACAAGAGAAAAAAATTTCTTGTGAGAAGAGGGAAAATTTGCAACATCATCGATAAATCATAAGGCCCTGGCCAGACTTCGCTCAAAAGCGCCCAAAAGCGCCCAAAAGCGCCCAAAAGCGCTCAAAAGCGCGCAAAAGCGCCCAAATTTCTCTGGTGTCTCTTCACTTTCTCGTGTGAGGAGAGATGAAAGAGAGTGAGGAGAGGTTAGAGAAGTTTGGGCGCTTTTGCGCGCTTTTGGGCGCTTTTGAGCGCTTTTGGGCGCTTCTGAGCGAAGTCTGGCCATGGCCTAACACCAAAGCAACAGTGGTTGGTCGCATCAACATATGGTACAGCGGAGAAGGAGAGAGTGTATCTAAACTATTGGCACAGCTTTCACCTGACCTACGCGTTCCTTGGCTACCTGAAATCACGCAAAAATCATGAATTAAATCAACAGCAGAATATACTCGGAAAGACGACCAAAATAGTCAAAGAAGATTAAATAATACCTTCCGATGTTCTTCCGCAAAAGCCATCTTATTACCCTTCTTCTCTTGCCTACGCCATCGCCGAGCTTCTTTAACAGCTTGCTTTCGCAGACGTCGCTGCTCAGGCGTTTCTCCTTTGGGCCTGCAAAGATCACTCATTATCATAATGGACCCGAGTGATCAAAAGTCAATTACAAATCCGTCTATAAATCTGTTGGAAAAGGCGTGTGTAGTGGTGTGACCAGAACTGCGTCAATTTTCACAGAACTTTGGAAAGCTGCGATAAAGTTTGAGCACAACGGCATTATTTTATGAATGAGAACGTCCACAACTAATTCACCGCGCTCATCAGAACCAAAACTGATACATCCTTTCCCAAAATTCTTTTCAGAAACGAAAGTAACGCGCATTTCTAAATGAAGCCTAGACCTGTATCTAACATGAAATCAGCAAGGAATTCACACCTGTACGTCGACGCTTGCGTGCATTGACTCATCGTGTCATCTTCGTTACTCTGCATTTCTTCGTCCACTTCCATATCGTCAACTTTTTGCGCTTCACGATCGAGTCGTTTCAGTGCGCGACGAGACAGTTTGCCAGTTTTTGGGTCTAAATCGATAGTTCAAGCACCTGCATCAACGCATGCTGCTGAAGAAAGCTTTACGAAACTGACTTTGAATGAGAGTAGGGTGATTATAGACGTTGGAGTATTGGGTTGCGTAGGACTCACAATCCCATTTCAATCGTTTCGATGCTGATTCATCAACCTAAATTGATTGCGTGGAACATAATAATTGCTAAAAACCGATGTTTGATCATTCGTTCATTACATATATTGTCTCTTTCATTACATACATTGTCTGTCTCTGATAAAATGGAACATTTTTTTTTTGAGATTTGCGCATACATTTTCGTCCAAGAAGGGAGGTCGACAAACAGACAGAAATAATTCCAGAAATGCACAACATCTATTTACATAACAACGCAGCAGCACATCCTGCATTGAACATGCATCCCAGGATGGGGACTATCTAATAGAGTTTTCAACGACGGGGAGTTGAAAATTGTAGCGGAAAATAGATGAGATGCACCCATACCTCAACAGTTTCCATAACGTCATCGTCTTTGATCACATTCGCCTCAATTAGACGCAACCGTTGCCTAGTCCATTCTTTCGATGCCTATCAAAAAGATATTATTTTATTCTGAAACAAACTTCAAGGCCTTGAATCAAAAATTAGTAGCTAAACTGAGGTAGCCAGCCTTTTCTCAACTCACACTTTTGTTGATATAAATATCATATAACAAAGTCTTGATCTAAGAATTCGTAAGAGTATGTGTTCCACTTTCAGACTGCCACCAAAATAATTTTAGAAAAAAAAGTTTACAGCTCATGCATTCTTTCTCTATTGGATTCTTTGACTAATACATACCTCTTCATCATCAACGGGACCCTTTTGACTCTCTTTTATCATCCGTTTTACTCGTTCATCGTCTGGTTCTAGTGTGCCTCCGACTTGATAATCATCCCCATCCAACTCTCCTAACTGATCATCGTGATAGTCAGCTTCAAGCAGCTGATCAAACCGATCGTCAATCTCTCGACGCGGTCCTTCGCGCTGCACCTAGAAAAGTATATGAAGTACGAGTTATGACTGGGGTTGTACGAAATCAACAGGACATCTAACAAAAGTGAATGCAAAGAACTAGTAACGGCAACCTTTTTTGTTTGAGTCGATTCCCCGTCTTCGTCATCATAATTATCTTCATCATAGTCCGACTCTTCGTCATCCTAAAACAGCACTCTTACCAACATACTAAGGCTAAAAAAACGATATCTCACAACTTGGAACACATGTGACAAAGAAGTGAACTCGAGTAAAAAATGTAGATTTCACGCTCAGTGGGTAAGAAAAGCAGGAGAAACAAGTAAAGGATATAAATGATTGGGAAAAACTTCAAAACAAAGGTTGTGAAACACCGACCTCATCGCTCTCAAAATGTACAACCGGTTCTCGAGGTTGTGTGTGCGACTTTGGTACAGGTTCAGCCAAGCCGCCGGCAAGGGCTACGAAGTCGTCCTCTAAGCCACCCTCTATCTCTCCCTCGAAGTTTCCCTAAAATATGAATTTTAGAACCAGATCTCTCGATGGAGGTTCATAAAATTATCCAAGGCATTTTTTAAAAATATTCAGAACATCCCCGGGGCACAAAAAATAGTCTAATTAATGGTGGAAAACGAGAAGTATGCTCTTGACAGAATAAAATGCAGCCCCATGTGCCAGATTTGCATGGGTTGTCGAAAGATTTACCCGCTTTTGACTAAAAAAACGCGAAGTCCTTTGCTAAATAAGAGGCTAACCTTGATGTGATTTTCTTGTTCTCACAGTTTATATATTTTTTGTTGTTGTATCTGGGACGCGTACTGCATAAAGCAGCCGAATCCTCTAAAACTACTTGGTATTGCTTCAAAAAGTTCTCCCACGAAGCTAGCTCAAAGAGAAAAACAAAGCTTTCCAGGCTCACCTCTAATGCTTTTTCTACATCTTCATCAAAAATCTCCTCTTCTTCCATCTTCGTTAATGCAGCTATCGGGTTTTCTCCAAACAAAGCCGATGGTATGGGTGGTGGAAACTTAGGTGCTCTTACTATAAACCTTTCTTCTTGTTGAGCCAGCTCTTCTATGGTTTGTAAAGTTCCTGTCTGCAAGGGTGAGTATACTCAGGTAACAATGACAAGTCAAAAGCCAAGAACCTGCCTCTCTTATATCTCTCAAATGTTGCATATAGTCATAATCGTCATCAAAAAAGATCCCATATTTATGTTGCTCCTCTAACTGTTCCTGAGTGGGATGAAACCTGAAAGAAAAGTAGATCTCCGCACCTTTTGAATAGACGACAACTAAGGTCCCGCAAACGAAGAAGGTCTGAAAGCAACTTACACCTTCTCTTCATGTGGATGCGCTTCCGCTGTAGTTTTTGGTACAAGACGATAATGTATTGCATTCTTTTTATCCAAAAACGCCTTCTTTTTACCCTAAAATTCCACTCTTGCCTTCACAGAAGAGGTTCGTGTAAGAGAATTATAATGCAAAAGAGGGAGGAAACGTGGACTTACCATGATGTATTATGGTGCCGCTAAGCGATTTCAATTTCAACACACCTAAAAATATTACAAAGATTTGATTCACGTCTCAAAATGTATACGATTTTGCCAAAAGGTGATTGATCTGGACGACGTCTCCAAGCGCAGAAAGGCAAATAACTGCTGCATTCGAAAACTGAGCTTTACAGTGAATGACTATAATTCTAAGTTGCAAAGCAAGATGCACAAGTAAATTGAGACGGCTCCATTTGGAAAAAAGCATTTGGCGAAAAGCAAAAAGCAAAGCATCCATCGCAGTCTGCATTTTCTGGCGACGGTAACTTTCGCCGTGGAGCGCAAATGTGAATTGCAGCACGTCCGGCGCTCAACAATGTGATCGCTTCGTCAATTATTCGGCATGGCATTTTTTTGCTAGAACCGGTTTTCATTCTCCGCAGTACTGCGTTTTGGGTGGAGACGCGAATAGGTGTTGTATTGCAACCATTTCTCGAACTGCATATTGCGGGAAATCTCTATTTCTGGTCGAGTGGCTTTTTAATGAAAAGTAACTTCGTTGTAAGATAGTAAACTTTTGCTAATATATAGCTCAGCTTCCGAGATGTTATGATATGTAGATACTTACAGTATTGTCATACAATGTAAATTCATGTGTTTTGTGTACGCTCTTACCCAACTGTGTTTATGCTGAAATTTTTCCTCATGACTTATCTGTCGTCATAGTTACTATCTCTACTTTCGACGCTGCTTGGAATACGATCTCGTTCAAGTATGGCATCATTCATCTAAATATCTCCTTCTCTAAAATAATTCAGAGCTCGTTATCATCTAAGCGATGTTTGATCATTGGTGAGAGTGCGCTAATTTGTTTATACTCACGCTCCCAAGGTAAACATATGGCTCACTCATTTGTTATGGCGTTCTCAATTTTATGCAAATATAACAGTGTGCTTCACCACCATAAATGTACTAAGTAGCAATTATTCTTCAAACTCTAAAAAAGTGTCTTAAAAGATTTATTCTAGCTCCTGTACTTGCTTTCCTCTCTTGACCTTGAAACGCTTGCAAAAACACAATTTTTGAGCAAGAAGGTAGCACACCTTACAGTATCGAATTCGGCATGTGATTTTGACGCAGACTTGCACCTTGACAGGTATAGATGTTATGGCACCTGGATTTTGACGCAAACTTGCACCTTGAGTATAAATACCATGTTAGCTTAATTCCAAGAACGACGCTTCGGTGCTTCCACTTTAATTGACTACTTATTCTGAGTGAGAGTTTGAGTAAGTGAAGTGGATTCACACCCTTTATTGGTGTGCTTCACTGCTTCTTTTTATGTAGCTTCCGGTCAATGTTATTCCACCCCCTTTCTGCCCTTGCTGCAATTATTTCTCGTGGTTTTATTGCCTTTTAGCTTTTCGCACGATATATTTTTTGACATGGATCATGTTGTAGAATCTCAAATGGTATAGACCGACAATAGCCTCGCTACTTAAAGATGAAGTGGTTCTGTTTCAAATTTTGGTTCGTTTATCGCCTAATACTCGCCTGTCTCTCCCATTTCAACTGGTAAGATTTCAATGTTAACATCTCTTTTTTTACATAAAATTCATCGATTGCAGGTTTCTCGCGCTTTACACAAATTGTATCTACTTTACACTGTGGAAAAGTTACGATTTGTTATGGTTCTGGATGCATCTGACATTATGCTCGTGCTTCCAATCATTGCGGTGTGAAAATTATCTAGTCGTATGGAGTAATCTTATTTGGCAACGTTATAGCAAGTACCCCAATAAGAGTTATAAGGTCTGCCTTCATTAATGGTCTTTTTCTTCTTGATCTCGGCTTTATTTGTTGATCGTCACCGTTTTAGCAACTCTATCTAGCCCTCTATGGTGGCAAAGGTACGAAGGCTGAACGGGCGCTCCAGCGGATGGACACCATCGAAATCCACGAAAAAGAGCAGCACAGGTTGCGACCGGGTAAGCAGAACCGCATCTTCCCGATCCTTTCGAATTCCATGCTTGCAGACAGCAGCTCTTCGTCTTCTGAGGGTGAAAACGAGACTGACGATTATGATGCTGCCCGTATGGGCAGATCAACCACATGGTTAGTAGTTTCTACTCGATTTTCTTGTATATTATGCGACTTCGACCATTCCAGTGGTCCTCGAGTCGTTTCCGAGGTGATGGCGGAAGAAGAAGCCGAGTGCCGAAAGTATGTTTATGTTGGGCAAGCTGTTGAGTCACATGCGGACGCGGCAAAGAGTTAGTTCCCCTTTTCTCTTTTGTGCAAACTATCCAATTTCTCTGCCTGACTCACTCCGTTTTTACGTCTTCCAGTTTGGGTTCCCGCCATTTCGGAGGCGGCAGCGCAGCATTTAATTCTGTAAAACAGCGCATATACATAAATTGATGTTGGCACATGTGACCATTTAACATCACAGACGCATTCACGGGTTCGCCTTTGACAAGGCCGATAACTTTGAATGCGCATTATCGATCGAAACACCGTAGTGTCGCAGTCTCAGCTTTGTGTTTACATGATTTTTTGGTGAGTTGATGAAAGCACAAGCACTTTGAAGGGTGGAACCGAGGTGTCTAGGATAGATTTGGGGGCGGAAAAGTAAATTTATCCACTTGTGGCGGTAGATACCAGTTGCGTAATATGGGCGCAAACTGCATTTGTTGTTGAAAGTAGACATCGGAGGATGATGGCTTTATACCTATTAACATATACTATTGCTGTATCCAGGGCAGCGTGAAGCCAGTAATGACGACAATGCTCCACCTTCGCCTGTTCGACCTCCAAGACCCTCTAAAGAGTCTTCAGGCAGCACCAATGGTCAGCGAATCTATACATATAACATCTTTTTTTTCTAACTAATTCAGTGGAGTTAAGCTTTAAATGGAGAAGCGAAGAATATGATTAACGTCTCAATGCAAAATGGAGGTGGTGCTGCGCAGAACAGGTAAGGTATATTTGATTATTTGATATCACAAGTGTTTAGCTGAAGACTTACATTTAGAGTCACATTCAAGGACACAGTTCCCGTTCGCCCACCTATTACAAGAAGCGATAGTGATGAATCTAAGGTTTGACTAAATTTTGAAGGCGGTGCTCAGGCATTTCCAACTTTGGGTTTCACTTTCGGTTTCTCTTGCCTCTGATAAGGGAACGATACTTAGTGTTCGTGGCCTTCTAAAATGAGGTGTATACCGTTATACTAGTCTCGAAACACTGATTTCGAATCTGACTTCCGTTTCTACTGATTGTTTCTCTGAAAGGAGTTATGGAAGATTTTCGAGTTAAGTTTGGCCGCCCGAAGGAAATGCGAGCGGAGTGCCAAATACTGCCATCTGGTAGGCTGTGGCGTAGTGGTTAGAGCGATAGCCTCATAAATTGGTGCAGGTGTAGGTTCAAGTCCTTTTGTGTTTTTTAGCTTTGCATTGCCTCAATTAATCTTCTTCTTGAAAGTTAGACATTCTCAAGGTAAATGCATGTTATTCCTTTTCAGAAAATATGGAAAATTCGGAGCAGTATGTTTGCCTAAAATGTATCTATTAATCATAATTCGAGTAAATTTACTCAAACATAATCCGTGGTATGCCGCAGGCTACCTTGATGAGCATCCTGGTCAATTGCAAACCCCAGTACAATACTGCTTTTCGCGAGAATTGCTGGATGAGTGCGAGAAAGCCAACTGCAATGACTTAATCCTTATCCGGTGCGCTCACTACGAGCATCTCCTATGTTTTAATCAATTTGTTATAGATTTCCATCACTGTGTTCAACATGATTTTCTAATCATTTTCATTTTTGTAAGTACTTCAGGATAAATATAGGAAGCACTCATATAAAAATGACTCTTCGTTGGTTTTTTTTTTGAGTAAGGGCATGCATTTACCTCGAGGATGCCTAACCTTCAAAAAGAAGATCAGTTGAGCTATGCAAAACCAAAAAACACAAAGGAATTCGAACCTACACCTGCATCAACTTATGAGGCTATCGCTCTAACCACTACACCCCAGCCTACCAGAGGTCTCTGACACTCCGATCGTATTTCCCTCGGGCGGCCAAACTTGGCTCGAAAATCCTCCATAACTCCTTTCAGAGAAACGATCAGCAGAAACGGAAGTCAGTTTCGGAATCAGCGTTTCAAGGCGAGTATAATGGTATACATCTCATCTCAAAAGGTCACGGACATTAAGTATCGTTCCCTTGTGAGCAAGCTTGCGTTGAACTCCTTCTGACAGAAGAGCATATGACTCATTTGTCATTCAGGTGTTGATTTTGTTTTGAGTTGCTTCAGCGAGATCAACTCGTTCCTTTGTTTCAGCTTGGCATGGGAGCCGAGCAGTAGTAGCACGTTACAAAAACATTGAGAGTAAATATGGAAATTTCTTACAGGAACGCTCCAGCATACGTTCGCGATTATCGGATTGGAGCATTACCTCACGAGTGCCCCTTTGGGTTGCGGGCCTTCGGCGGGTTTTCCGCCTTTATGTAGGAACTGTCTCATAACCTTTGTTTTTTGTTAGTTAGAGCGTGTCATATAGCATCTTCTGAAGAGTTAGAGTTGCAATGCCTGTGCACTGCCTTACACCAGCATTAGTTTTGTGCAGGAAGTCTTAAATCAACGAGAATTCGAATCCGTCGTTGCTTTACTACTACGCTTCTTTACCATAGATCTGCAGACAATTTTTATTTTCATCTAGAAAAAATAACTCGTAGTTTCTCATTTAATCATATATGTCTTTGTCTAGACTAGTGCATGGGGACGCATTCTTCAAATGATTCCCAATCCCTTGAAAAAGAGTAATGAAGACAAAAGTGTAGCCGATCCAGCAGGTATATAATTTTAATGTCTTTCAAAAACTTTCTGTACTTCCTTACATTTTTCTGTATAGCTTTGGACGTCTTGGCACCAAATTTTACTAACACTTATGACGTCTATGATGAGAAAAAATTGGAAAGACGAGCCAAACGAGATCGGAAAGCTTTGACGCAGAAAGTCCGACGGCGTCTTCGTGAAGAGTTGCGTGAAGCAGCTAAACGGGAACGAAAGTAAGTTTTTGAACTTGCCGAACCTAGATCATATTGCAAAATTTAGGCGCAAGAGGATCGCTGATTCAATCGAGTTGTTCTTACAACTTTTAAGAATGATCGCATCATTCGCAGTTTTGGTTGGAAATATCAGAAAAACGTTTATACCAGCGCAGTTCAAGTATCTCAGACCAGGCCAGCATGCCTACGATCACTACGAACTGTTACTACTGTTCAGGTATCCCGCTCTAAGTTTATCCGTGCTGGTTTTCCCAACCAATTTCGTTTCCAGAGTTACCACATTTATTGACGTTAGCATGTTCTGGACTAACGTCATGTGGGTTTATTGCCTGCAATGGCATCTGTGCTGTCGGTTAGGCTTCATGCGATTCTGGATGTGGCTGGCGTTGCTATCCGTGGTGAGTCTTTTATTGTTTGTTGTGTTTTGCTGAGCTTTCGGAAGCTATCCGCTTTCCATTTCAAGAGTGCTAGTATTTCACGATTTTTTCATACATGTTTTGCTAGCCTTTGACTTCCCCAGATTGCGACTGCGGTTATGATTGCTCCAATGAGCTACGCGATGAACGAAATGGATCTGAGTTGGTGCCGCTTCATGCCGAACTCTACATTGGCTAAATATCAGCCTCAGTGGAGGAGGTGAACGGGACCTCTTTTGAATTTGCTTGTTTCCTTGTTGTATTGTGCGATTTTTGCGACCATCTGATCAGACCGTGTTTTTACGTTGTTTTTTCACCTACTTAAAACGGTAAGCTTCTTTCCGAAGCCTGCGCCCGACAGCTTGTTAGAAATGCAGACGTACCATAAATTGCATGCATTATAAACTATCCCTGTCATCTTGTTATGTGTTTCGAATAGCACTGTACATAGATTCGTTTGTGGCACTGCGTGCATAATCCGACTCTTGTCTAATCAATACCGAATACGAGTTTATGAGTTTGAAAGTTTGAAATTTGAAAAACTGAAATTTGCATTTCTGTAAATTGTAATATTGTTGTATAACTTCATACTGTACCAAAAGGTTTTCTCACCGCTTCCATTTCATTATAGCGACATACGACTACAGTTCTTGCAGAACTTCTCCGTTAGGTGCTCCCATGCGTGTTCTTATTGTAAGTTTTGATAATAATGCATTCATTTCCTGTGCTTTCTGCGTATCTGACCATGTGACTCTGTTAACCTCGTCGAATTATTATTGAAAGGCCTCCTTTCGTCTTGATTGTCTACTTTCACTGTCTGTGAATGTTGAGCGTCATAAAGGTTTCATTGTTATTGTTTCAAAGAACTTTCAATTGCGAATACAGTATATAGCTGAAGGTAGCATGCGACTACAATTTGTAGACTTTAGTAGCAGACTTCGTAGGTGAAATTACACGAATGTTGCCTTACTACTCCTGAATGAGAAAATTGTTCCGAGGAGAGGGACGCGGTCGGAAGGCGGCTAAATTGCATTATGACCGTACACAAGGCTACAAGTCTTATTTGGCAGCTGATTGTGTGCATCGAAAGATTTTCTGCACAAAAAGATGAGTTGCGGCCTTAGACTCACACCTTCTAGGTCTGAATCCTAAGTATGTTCACAAACATGTGTAGATTTAGCGAAAAGTCTGTAAGGACAGCAATGCAAATGAGTACCAGGACGGAGGCCTTGAGCTGTAAGTTTCTGTTACTAACAGCTGCAGGTGTGAACTCATTCTTTTAACCAGAATTGACCTAATAAGCTGAGACCTTTACCGCAAAACACCACGGCTATTCAGCTGTAGAGATGTTCAGCTTTATGGCTATGTTCTGTTGGTGCTATATTGAAAAGAAGCTAAGGCGGGCAGAGTTCAAGCAATTTCAAGCCTCGCGATTCATCAACAAGACAACAATTACGAGTCTATTGCATGCCGATCATCTTGCATTTCGGTTGTGATAGTCACGATCTAAGGTGTTGGAAAACGATCACAACCGAAATGCAAGATGATCGGCATACAAACTCGTAATTGCTATCTTGTTGAAGATTCGCGAGGCGATGAGATTGCGTGAGCTCTGTCCGAGGCCTAAAGGCCGCGTCAAGGCAGACTTGAACCGTCTGGCCTACCAGAGTCAAGTACTAGGGCCTCGATGTAAAAAATCCGAGTCTGTTGCGCAGACTTGGATTTTTCCCACTTCCGTGCGACGCTAACCTCCTCAAACGAAATTTTCTCAGCCCTTGCCGCTTTTTCATATGGCAAAAGCAGAATCTATATCGTTCACCTGTTGATGCTTGCTTTCGACAAGGATAGGGCGTCCGTAGGCGCACTCGTCCACGTTCTCAGAGAATAGCTCAAAAAAGTTTTTCGAGAGGTTTACGCTTTTTGACTGCTATTTTTGAAATCAACTGAAATCAGCGCCATGAAAGGGCTTGAATGAAGCAGAGGAAAATGGAAATCAAAAGCTGCCATGTTATGTTCAAGGAGCGATTACCGCGCTTCAGAGCTATCGGTCGCCCCATCGCGAAACATCCGGCGAAAGAGCATAAAATCAACAAATCAACATTATAGTAGTGGTAGAAAGGCGAATCTGCTTTCCTTTCTCCTTCAAATCCTAGCATGGAATTATTACTATCCATATTAGCATTACTTTCGAAGGATGACTGGATTTATACTGGTGAGGCTCGTCTCTGCCGAAGAAATTCTCGAAAAATGCTAACCCTTTAGGTATATTAATCTCTTCATTCATGATCTCCTGGATTTTACGGTTGCAACAAAGTACGTATTTATTAGCGAATGCTGGCGGCCCTATAGGATTTACCATGGCGTTGATAGTTTTAGGTAGGATAGGCTCTGTCAGCTTATTTTATTTGTGAAATGCTCTTTAGTAAGGAAGTTCCGGATTTTTGCAACGTGCCCCAGTTGAAAATTCAAAGACTTTCTCTTATTTAGGCGAGAAAATCTGGTACTCCATCCCACTGGCTTTGTTTGTTGCCCTTTGCATCAAATATGCTCCGCGAAGGTAAGCGAATCCGTTTTTTATTGCTTCACACCACTCCCTTTTAACAAACTCACCAGTATTGGAATAAGTTTGGTTTACTGTTTTAAGTTGCTTTTCCTTCTAATCGCATTCTGTTTTCCAGGCACTTAACATTCATTGTGTTTGTTTCCTCTTTTCTCTATCTTATGTTCATCCGATACCTGCACTACTTTTTCGACGTGCAGGAACTTGCATCTCAGGCGAATGTTGTACAACTCATAATGACTTTGAGGGTGAGTTTGTCCTTGCGCTTGTTTTCGATTTAAGTTTAACCTATCCAATTTTTTGTTTGCTCTGTTATTTATCCATGGAGTGTTAATACACAATTCTGCATTGTACTAAGTCTAATATAGATTCTGCAATATAACTTTCCATCCATCTCAGGTTATCGGACTTGCCTTTGAAGTTTCCGATTTCCGATATGCCAAAGCCCATCCAGAGTCGATCACGAAACCGAGAAGATTTCTGGAAGTGGAGCCTAACTTTCTGGAGATACTAAATTATTTTTACCATTTTGCTGGTTTGTTTACCGGTAAGCCTACTTGTGGTTTTACTTCAAAAACACTTCTCTTTATTATAGTCTTTTTTGATTTCAGGCCCATACTACACTTATCAGATGTTCTTAGACTCACAAGACCCTGTCTTAATCACTAAATGGTCGCCCATTCCTGAAATTCGTGAAAGGGCAGTACGTTTATGCTGGAGTGTTCCGTTATTCATCGTTTTTAACAAATTGTATCCGTTAGACGTAAGTGTTCTTTTATCTGTATTTTGCTTTTTCCGTTAGGATCAATGCTGTTAGAAATGATTGAATGTTGATGAATGTAGTTTTGTTCAGGGCCTTCGCTCTGATGTTGTTTGGGAAATGACTTTCCCTTATCGGATTCTCTACGCTGCAGCAGTGTTTGTCGTATTTCGAACTCGTGTATACAGGCATGTTAGCTAGAGATTCGTGTCGCATTCTCATTTCTTCGAATTATAGCGCATGGGCGGTGGCGGAAAGTATGTGTGTCACTCTTGGACTCGGCATCTACCCCGCTGAGTCAAACCCACGCACTGTTGTTGGACCTACTGATTTCGAGAAATACAAGTAAGTCGTCATTTTTATCTGCAACAAGTGCTTCTCTAATATATCCTTTCAGGGAGTTGAAAGGAAGATCAGATGTTACGTACAATTCCGAAGCCATTGTTAATTTGAACATACCCGAGGTAAATTAATTCAAATCAATTTATTAATTAATTAATGTTTTTTTTTCACTGGAACACATGCATCTATTCCTGGATTTTCTAAAATTTTCGAAAGTTTTAATGTAGTATTGTGTCTATAGTTTGGTCAAAGAAGAAGAGGGTAAATGCTTAGATTCACATTGATACGCACATTTTTCAGATTGAGATGAGTGATGGGTTTCGAAGCGGCATACGGTCGTGGAACAAATCAGTGCAAAGTTGGCTAGCTCTGTATGTTTACTCAAGAGCAAATCGGGTTTACAGGTAAATTTAGGTAATTATGAACTACAATTGTCAATAATTAGTTGATTTTGAGAGCCGAGCTCACAATGTTTGTATCAGCTCTGTGGCATGGAACCTATGCCGGTTATTTTATGTAAGTCATCATTTTTGGAACATTTTTTTCTTCTACACTTTTCGCATGTTGGCAGCGAATCTACAATTTTTTCAGGTCTTTTCTCATAGTACCCATGTGCTGCTCCGTAGAAGACATCATCTTTAAGTATATACCTGAAGATCCTGTGACCAAGAAAAGGCCAGCTTGGTTCAGATACCTGTAAGTAGATTGCATCATTTACTATGTGCTATTATCACTAAGGAGTTTCAATCATTTTACATAACTTTTTCTAGTTATCTCTTCACCTTGCGCTGCCGCGGTTTCGACATGTTAGCCACCGGGTTTTTGCTCAAAAATTTTGAAGATACACACAGGTATGAGTGTGTTGTAATAAGTTCATTCTAACCATGATTTCGTTCAGGTTCTGGAGCTCACTATACTATTGGTTATTGATAGTCACATTACCAATCTACATCTTCGATAAGGTGTATACTATCAGAATGAAATCAGGAAAGAGAAAGAAGGAACTTTGAAATGGTTCTGACCGCCCAAACATCACTTCTATTCCTTCTGCCACTAGGATGCGATTTGTTTTGTAGTTGGCCATCAAATTTAGGTGAGAATGTTATACAAATGTCATGAGTAGTTTCAACTTGTACACACTACTACCAGTGGCGTACGAGGGGGCGGAGGGGGGGGGCTCAATTTACTTACGTGGGCTATAAAAATGTACAAGTGATTTGTTTATTCTTATAAATAAGTAGTTGACTTTTTCGGTCCGGCCCGGGCCATTGTTCACCTGCACTGCGAACACCTCCTCCCCCCTCCCCCTTATATGTTATAGCTGGCAAACCCGGTTTCACACGAAACTGATTAGCCAAACCGTCAAGCGGTATACACTCCCGAGCGGAATGGCAGAACTTACCTCTCCGCTGTCTGCGCTTCAACTCCACCCGAGCACCTCGGTTTGCTCTCCTCTCCTGCACAGAATACAACGTGCCAAAACACCTTTAAGAAATAGTATGGGGTCCACTAAGCGACTAACGTAGAGTCCCTGACGAATTTTTGTGAAAAGTAGCCTAAAACCGTCTCCAGGGTAAAAAACATCTGTGCGCAAAGTCTCAGCTCAATCGGTTCAGCCGTGGGCGTTTCTATAAAGCACACACGCTCCAAACAGACAATTTTTGAGTTTTCATATAAATTAGAGATTAGAATAATTTTTAAAAATCTTTAAAATTCAAATTAGCCTTGAAAAAAAATTTTTCGGCTTTTTTTTTTGAAATTTTCGGGTTGGGGGCCCGCAAAAATGCTGGGAAGTTTACCAAAAAGTTTTTCGGAGGGCTATTAAGAAAATCGACAAGGCCGAAGGAAGGAACAGCGAACAATGGAAACTTTGTGCTGAATTGTGGGACCACACGTGAAGGCGGGTCATCTGAGTATTTAGGTAAATATGGGGATTTGTCAGACGAAGGGGTCGTATTGACGGTCATTGCTCACACAAAACATCAGAAAATGGTTAACCATCAAGTTGAAAGCTAACATCATCTGGTACTGAAGAGAAAAAGTCAGAAAGTTTTGATGGCTTTGCGTGAGCAATGACCGCGAACTTACCGACCTTCACGATCTGGCAACCCTATAACAGTGGCGGACCGGAGAGGGAGGGGGCGAAGTCGCGCAAATTTTCGAAGCGGTCCACATGGTCATAAAAATATAAATGACTTGTTGTCAAGTGAATTAATTAGGATAATTGAAAAAATTCAAAAATAAAAATGAGCCTGCGGAAGTCTTCGGAAGCATCGCGAACGATTTTTTTTTTCGAAGCGTGTGGCTAACGTTACACACTTTCAAGCGAGCATTTCTAGTTGCACTACTCCCGCCACCTTCATTTGCAAAAGATTTTGTCGGTCCGCCACTGTCTGTTAATCTTCAAATTGTCTCATCATACGAACATTTTACGTAATCAACGTCCAACGCCATTCATTAAAAAATTCTGGGATGTTTCAAAGATGCGCGAGCCGGCAACTTCTATGCTAGTGTGATTATAAAGATCACGTGCGTGAGGGACTTCTCCTCTTGCAGTACGCAGGGATTAAGCATTAAGCGACTGCTTTTACTATGATCCGTGTTCCATGCATTTTTGGACTTGAAAAAGCCAATAACTGTTTGTGATGATCACAAACAGTCTTTGGAGATCTAAAAAAATTCGTAATATAGCACAAAAACACAAAATAACAAGATGTCGAAAATAAGCTTTGTAGGTACACAGAATTACATGAAATGCTACTGCTATAAGTCATCTCACGCAGAAGCTTTGAATTTGCAATAAAATTACTGAAGTAGGATGCGTATACGCAAGCTATGTTACTTATATATATCAGACCGTATTGAAAAGCTTCAATTTGCACCTCTTGGATCAAAAATGGGGTGCTGTTCAGAGCTAGAAAGCACAAGCTAACTAATACCACTAAATATTTGAGTGTTATTATAAAATACATTCTACATTTTATACTACAGGGTGTCCCAAAAAAATGTAACGAACGTTTGATCGTTAATATCTCTCTTCTAAAGAAGTCTTTTCTCTTGCTTCAGGTACCAATCTGTAGAGCTGGCTTCAACTTAGATTTGCATTATAGAACGAATCACTCATTTCTCTTCATTAGTGTAGGATTACGGTAGAAACTTCGAAGAGGGTTTTAAGCAATGAAAGGCCATATTTTGCCTTAGAAAGGAAACAAAACAGCCTGAAAGCTTTTACACTAGGCTAATTAGAGTTGCTGATTATAACTGTAAAGTTCCCAACTTATTATGATGCTTCATTGAAGGTAAGAGGTAGCGGCCATTTTTTCAATATTCCTAAAAAATGCGATTACACCGTTTAGAAAGCTTCGTAATCTTGTGAATAGTTGAGTATTGAACTCAGCGTCCATAAAAACCCTATTACACAAGTTTTCACAATTTTTTGAAAAATTCTGAAACGGCAGCTTTTTCCACATTGACACCATATGTTTCAAGTTTCTACCGTAATCCTACAGTAATGAAGAGGTATGGGTGATCACTACGTAATATATAACGAATTCGTTGTTTACCCATTAAGCCGCCCGATAGTTGGATCATGGCAAACGAGGAGGCTGCAGACGTAAAAATTATGATGAAATACACTGATCTTTGGATTTGGATTGCTGCCAAGTGGCATCCGTTTTGGAACGCTGCCAAATTTCATAACGAGTGACCAAGCATATTTTCGTAAAAGGGTCGCGCGTATTTCGAAAGGCAATCATGAGTGTCGCAATGAAGTTGAGACTGGGTCGGCAGTGTCCGGGTGTATTATTTGTATACCTGCTTTTTTTCGAGCTTGTTATCCCAGAATGTGTCTTCCGAATATGTTGTACTCCTACCAGTTGCTTTTGAAATGATGCCAAATGGCATGTCTTGAGCTGAATTCAGCTATGTTCTCAACTCTTGGTAAAAATGCTCTAACCAAGAACAGTCACTTTAAGGTTATCTTGCTTCCGCTTGTAGACAAGAGGGTGCGTGAGTAACTTGTCGCTGGTACTTTTGGAAGCGTTTTTCTAACAATAGCCTTGCTTTTGCTTGTGTAACTAAGTCCCGCTGGTGCTTTCAACTAGGTAACGGGGTGTAAGCGGGACGTGGGGCAATTCCATCGGGCAGGGAAACAGATTTTTCTACGTTTGGGGCAGTTCTCAAAAAAAGCCAAAAGTGGCGTGTACGGCAATTTACGCTGATTACTTGATTTCGTTGTTTTCTTTCTGTAGAGTCGTAAGGTCGGTTTTTCTCACATATACGTATTCAAGCGACACATAGTGCATAATTTTCCTTTTCGAATAGTTACTATCGGTCTGTAAGCGGCACGTAGGGCAACTCGATTGTCTTTCAGATAGATAATATTGGTTTGTAAGCGGCACGTAGGGCAACTCGATCGGGCAGGGAAACAGATTTTTGTGGGTTTGGGGCAGTTCTTTTGATTTTTAAACGGTCTTCGAGCGGCTTGGGGCATGAACTATCTTTCAGATAGATAGTATTGGTTTGTAAGCGGCACGTAGGGCAACTCGATCGGGCAGGGAAACAGATTTTTGTGGGTTTGGGGCAATTCTTTTGATTTTTAAACGGTCTTCGAGCGGCTTGGGGCATGAACTGTCTTTCAGATAGATGATATTGGTCTGTAAGCGGCACGTAGGGCAACTCGATCGGGCAGGGAAACAGATTTTTGTGGGTTTGGGGCAGTTCTTTTGATTTTTAAACGGTCTTCGAGTGGCTTGGGGCATGAACTGTCTTTCAGATAGATGATATTGGTCTGTAAGCGGCACGTACGGCAACTCGATCGGGCAGGGAAACAGATTTTTGTGGGTTTGGGGCAGTTCTTTTGATTTTTAAACGGTCTTCGAGTGGCTTGGGGCATGAACTGTCTTTCAGATAGATGATATTGGTCTGTAAGCGGCACGTACGGCAACTCGATCGGGCAGGGAAACAGATTTTTGTGGGTTTGGGGCAGTTCTTTTGATTTTTAAACGGTCTTCGAGTGGCTTGGGGCATGAACTGTCTTTCAGATAGATGATATTGGTCTGTAAGCGGCACGTACGGCAACTCGATCGGGCAGGGAAACAGATTTTTGTGGGTTTGGGGCAGTTCTTTCGATTTTTAAACGGTCTTCGAGTGGCTTGGGGCATGAACTGTCTTTCAAATAGATGATATTGGTCTGTAAGCGGCACGTAGGGCAACTCGTCGGGCAGGGAAACAGATTTTTATGGGTTTGGGGCAATTCTTTTGATTTTTAAACGGTCTTCGAGTGGCTTGGGGCATGAACTGTCTTTCAGATAGATGATATTGGTTTGTAAGCGGCACGTAGGGCAACTCGATCGCACAGGGAAACAAATTTTTGTACGTTTGGGGCAGTTCTCATAATTTTTAAAAAGTCTTCAAGCGGCACGTAGGGTAAATTGTCTTTCAGATAGATAGTATTGGTTTGTAAGCGGCACCTAGGGCAATTTGATCGGACGGGGAAACAAATTTTTTGTTCACGTTTGTGCAGTTCTTATGATTGACGGTCTTTAAGTGGCTCAGTAGGGGGTTCTCCTTTTGTAGTAAAGCTTCATGTTCCTTAAGCGAAAAAATTGAAGGTTTTTCTGACAAAGTTCTTAGACGATTGATTTCGTTGCTGTCGGAATTGATTCTGAGAAAAGTGTTTTTTGTAGTACACATAGTTTTAGGGGTACATTTCTACTTCCAAAACGATAGGTGTTCTGCTACTTACTGAACGATCTTTTGTGAATCTTGTTGAGAAGAACTGAAAGAGCAAATTCTCTTTGAGAGGGTAGAAAAGTGGGGGGAGGGTTAATCTGTATGTCTTTGAGAGGAGGGTAAATTTGCAGAAAGAGCGTGGTAAACGAGTGAAAAATAGCCTTCTCCATGCATAGTTTAGCAGGAATCTCGAGTAATGAATTGATTTGTGAAGATTATCGCTTCTTCGAGCAGTTCTCCTTTTGTAGAATGCTCTTCGCAAAAATGTTCACAGGAAAGGAATAGGAAAGTTATTAAAAAATACTTATAGCCACAACGAAGCCCTTGTATTGTATCTGCCTCGACCCACTTGCTAGCGACCTGTAGGGTCGCTAGTTCGTTCTATAATGGAAATCTAAGTTGAAGCCAGCTCTACAAAACGGTACTTGAAGCAAGGCAAAAGACTTCTTGGGAAGAGAGATATTAACGATCAAACGTTCGATACATTTTTTTGGGACACCCTGTATTATTGCTTAGAATTCAGAGTTTAGCGTCATACCTAAACGTGATTCGAGAGGACTTCACTCAGAGACAGCTATGGAGCTTCAAATGTGGGGCCATCGAGACCGCACCCCAATATCTTTGTCGTCGAGCACCCTCCTCACGTCGCATGTTCCAGTTTTCGTAAATACCACCCGTGATTTGGCTTTCCATCTCTTATTATACATTTTCCTTGTTTTATATATTAATAATTGCTGCACCACCAAGATCTGAGTTTGTTGTGAGTTGTGTCGCAATTGCGAACAAATGTTTGTGTAGATTTTTACGAAATTATTTGAGGTTCATGCATTTTTCGTTGTTGTTGAAACTGAGATAAAATGTAGTAGATTTTAGCGTTGTAAATATTAAACAAAGCAGCAATCATATTGCAAATTTTTTTCGGTATTATTCGCTTTCTGAGTTTAGCCAAGAATACAGGTTAGCTAGAAGCATACGAAAATTATTATCGTTGTATGTACTGTTACTCGCGTTTTTGTGTGTAATTATGACTGAGTCCAGTATACGGGAACAAGAGAACGAGAAGCAGGTAAATAATTAGAATTTTCAATCTTGTAAACTTATAATTCAATTTGTACGCTGTTAGCAGGTGTTTATTCATCACCTCCGAAGGTTTCATCGATCGCTATATTTTGAGCTCGAAAATCTTCGTCTTATACGGTTCAGAAGGAAAAACAGTTTAGAAGGGAAAAAATGCGAATTCGAATAAAAGCCAGTTTCACAGTTTTCTTGAGATCTAAGAGAGTTCTACAATAATGTCTAATTTTAGTTGAATATTACCTCCAAGTACCATAGGAGAGAATATAGTGTGATGTAAATATAAAGTTACAGGGGCTTTCAATTTGGTTGTCACGCTAGACGTGGTTCAACTCCTCGCGAGCCGTCTCGCTTGGATGTCTCACGTGGTACAATACCGCATCCGCTAAGGCCTTCGCGGTATCGGGTGCGCTATTGTACCACGTGCCAAACGAGGCGGCTCTCGAGGAGTTGAACCACGTCGACCGTGACACTTGGATTGAAAGCCCTGTACATTTCTATAAATAATACTTTTCTCGGACACGTTTTTTCAATATATAAAAAGACACGTACACTCCAGGGTAGCATAAGGCTACTATGAGAAATAACCTAAAACGTAAGGAGGAAGAAAATCGCCTCAACGATCAAGGAGAAAACTATAATATCGAGAAAAGAAACTCTAAAAATAACGGCCCACATGAAATAACCGGGATAGGTTCTATGCCACGAAGGTGACACAAGCATTGCGAATTCTTAGAGCTTCCGTTTTGAAAAGTGACACAAACTATCTGTGCTAGAAGTCAATCATTATCTGGATTACTTTTACACCTGGTTTGCCTTTGGCCAGATTCGTTCCACGAGCGTAATAGGGTCGGGCATACTTCACGCGATTGTAGTCGCGACCCGATTTGGCAACATTCCAACTGTCCATAACGCTGTAAACCCATTTTAAATGTACAGAATATATGGCAATTTATCAGTCCGCGTAAGTTATACATATGCATGTGCAGTTTGTAAGTGCTGGATCTGAAGACTTTTGGCGAATTGCCAAATCACGTCGCCACTGAAATCGCGTGAAGTATGCCCGGCCCTTATGCCGCGTCGCTGAGGAAGCTATCACTCAGCTCAGCCTGGAAAATTTTGCTAAAACATGATTCTCAGCGTTTATTACGGTCCGTTAAACCGGAACTACGGATGCAAAAGTAAAATGAAAATTCAAATTTTGTAAAATATTCACGTGACTGGATGCATCAATGAAGTTTGTGTGTACAGCTCTATTTTTTAGAAAATTACCTTCTTGATACTGGTTGTCTGAGATTTAGTGTGGTAGCAGAAAGTATGTGAGTTACTCTAAGACTGGTATCCACCCCGGTGAGTCAAACTCACGCACTGTAGTTGGACCTACCGATCTGGAAAACTAATAAGTATTTAAATATGTTGCTGTAAACAAGTGCTTTTGAATATATGGTTCCAGAAAATTGAATAGCAAATCACACATTGCGCACAATTTCGGCCAATAACATACTTGAGGCAAAACAATCCACTCTAATTGCTTTCGAAATGCATTGTTGGTGCACAATGAATTCCACGAGGAAAGCTCATTTTCAAGACATGCCATAACGAAGAACCTGAAAAAAACCGACATTCAAGCCATCCCGTCCGCCCTGCTCTTGGCAAGCGAAAAAGCGGATGATGCAAGTAATTTAACAAACAAAAGTCAAACTTACATCTAAGGGATATAACGTTTTGAAAATAACCAAAAGCAGCAATCGCAGAAATGCATTGCTTTTTCACCAATTTTAGGAAGAGGTGATCATTTGGTGAGTAGAGCAGAATCAAATTGAAGAACATCTGGTCTGAAATCAGTTAAGGCTGGGCTATAGAGGTAGTGTGTAGAGGTGGTGTGAGGAAGTGAAACAAAAGTACGCTTACCGGTGAGTTGAAAGATAACCGCACTGTACGAATCGGCGGTAAAGTTCGACACAGGTAGTAACCGGCCGCTTTCAGGTCATCTGTAAATAGTAATACAGTGCTGGATGATTTATGCAGCTTTTTTTCGTTTTAATGAACAAGGAGTTTTTGTGGTAAAATGAGAGCCCTCGTTTGGATAAGCTTTGATAATGGCGGCGACTTCCCAAGATTTTTTACCTTGCAGTAGTACCCATGTACTAAATCGTAAAAGTCATCATCTTTAAGTATACACTAGAAGATCCTGTGACTAAGAAAAGGTCAGTCCGGTTCAGACACCTGTAAGTAGATTGCAATCACTGATCTTGTATTTCGTCGCAGTCACTCAAGTCTCACTCAACTTTCACACCGCACTCAACCTTTTTCGACACTTTAGCTACCGGATTTTACTCAAAACCTGCAATTTCATTTAGGTACTGGAGCTCTACTTTGTTGTTAGTTAGATACCTTTTTATATTCTTGATAGTGTATACACTGCCAAATAGAACTCAGAGATGAAGAAACCTTGAAGTGATTTTAACCGCCTAATAATTACATTCTTTCCCGTATTCTTTTGCTAGCATGCTAGAAATCTATTTTGCAGTCAGCCTTCAAATCACTAGATGTGTTGGTTAAGTTTGTCACAAGATTGTTTATCTCACTGAATTATTGGGAAAACAAGCATTCTCGTTGCGTTTGTAAGATTAGAAAAATACATATTCTTTATCATGACTATTATAACAAAATAGTAATCAGATCACGAATCTGCTTAGATTTTCACTTTAACTGGTACCAGTTTACCGGCCCCGGAGGGTAAAGGGCTTATTGGCCCAAGGACGGGGATCGAACCGGTGTCCGATGACAGGGTCATAGCGGCGCCTCATACCACTACGCTCGTCCGTTGTAGTGAATATTGTACCTACTTCTCACAAGTTTTATCGACCCCTGTCGATTAACGAACAAAACGAAATATTGATGGTCTAATTGTTTCGTAATATCAGACACGGCATCATGTTTTGGTTTGTAAATTGATGGCGCTGTATCTGTGAAGCAGATTGTAAGAGATACCACTGCCGTTAAACAGTGAAAGAAGAAGTGACTTCTTAAATATCCAATAACTACATATTTTTCGTAATTGTAGTGATGTTTTAGAGGTGTCGAGTTTCAAAACCTCTAAACGTTTTTGGGGTTAAAATTAACAAAAAATATTCAAAATTTGATCTTGGATTCCCTCTGAGAGTAAGCGTGAACAACAAAGGTAGTGAATGATTGCCGTTTTGAAACATGTATACTATTATCATATCATTATATTATACTATTATACTATTATCAGAAATTCTGTTCACAAGGCTTTGTGAGATTCAACTTATTCAATCACGCCGACAATTGATGTTGTTTTTGAAGCGGTACCTGCAAAATTGTAGCATTTGGCGAAAACTGGTCTTCACGGGCACGGCATTAGAAATGCTTTTATGAATTTGTTCCTTATGTTTCTTTTATAATATAAATTCATGCTAACTGAATAGCACTCATGAGTAAACTTAAACCATGGAGCTCAGAAGATGCATGTCTTAGAGGAAGACATTGCGGAAACCGAAGTTCTAAAATAATTACAAGACTAGAAATCAATTTATTACAAATTCTCTGAGCAAAATTTAGCACAATGCATTCGAATATACCCAGTTATCATGAAAGGCTGATCCAACAATTATGAGATACATATGCACGATATTAAATTCATAAACAAATGAGACTCGCAGGAGAAAGCTTGAGGAACTAATGAATTTCTTAAATTAGATTTAATGTCTTGAAGTCAGGTGAGCAAATTACTAGGTCGACAGTATCCTTATTTGTAATAGCGCCAAGTATTGAGTGTAGATCAGCAACAGCCCACTATTGATTCAATGAATTTACATTACATGCTAATTTCAAAATATCTCTTCATATTTACAGATAACTTATTACAATAACAAGTACGAGATTAGTTAGGTACTAAAACGTCATAGACTTTGACTATGCTGACACCTGGACCGACTATGCTGACATGCAGAACGGTCTCAGCATTTCGAACTTCCCAAGCGATGACCGACCGTCGACGTGTGGGCAGACCATCGAACAGCCTTTCTGGCACAATCTGTTCGGAAACAGATAGGTGATAGTCCTTGATGGATCTTTTGCCGTTGTACCAATCCTGAAGTGGAGTTCTATTAGTTTTTCTTTACTAGACATCGGTTTATTTTCACTCACCAACAATATCTGTCGTAGCCCTGATAACGTTATACAAGAGGTTTCATAGACGGTAAGATATTGGGCAGATAGCGATCGCAAGTCATCATCGGTAAGGCACGAGTTGATGAGGTTAAGATGTGTTATCTGAAACTGGTCAGATCACATACCAAAGAGAATAAACATGCATAAAAATTAACCATAGCGCTCGGCTTCAACTCTATGTGAAAGAGAGAACTGTTAACCCAAAATTTGTTGCGAAGGTGAAATTTACCAATTTGCTTGCTGCGAGTATTGATCAACAAATGGAGAGGAGGGGGTGGGTGAAGGTTTATCGGGTTATTATGATTTATCATAACCGAATAAGAAAAGCACTGAGGTCTCGTGGAACATTTTTGTACTTTGTGAACATTCTCTTAGTTCTGAGGGTACACTGAATAAAGCATGACGTTCGTATTGTGATGAAGGATGAGTTTGTAAGTGCGATTGAGGAGCTGAGAATTTGGACTAATGCGCTGATAGAAAAGCGGTAAAAGCCTTGAATAACCTTCGAAAACCTACGGTATTGCTATGGAGCAAAGAGCTACGCCATTTCTTACAACATCTTATATATAAAGCTGAATGTCTGTTTGTCTGTCTGTCTGTCTGTCTGTATGTCTGTATGTCTGTCTGTGTGTACGTATGTTCCGAATAGAAAATTCCATTTCTGAACCGATCCGGACCAAACTTGGCACACATACACTACGGGCCCCGGCGGGTGTCATAGGCTACTTTTCGTCATCGATCGATATCGATTTTATCGATTTTTATCGATTTTTTTGCAGAGTTCACCTACGGGGCTGGGAGTTGGCACAGGGGGGTAATCGAGCATGAGGATTCCGAATACAATATTGGTCTTCAGGATTATCGATTACTTTTATCGATTTTATCGATTTTTTTGCAAAGTTTGAGCTACGGGGCTGGGAGTTGGCACAGGGGGGTAATCGAGCATGGGGATTCCGAATACAATATTGGTTTTCAGGATTATCGATTACTTTTATCGATTTTATCGATTTTTTTGCAAAGTTTGAGCTACGGGGCTGGGAGTTCGCACAGGGGGGTAATCGAGCATGGGGATTCCGAATACAATATTGGTTTTCAGGATTATCGATTACTTTTATCGATTTTATCGATTTTTTTGCAAAGTTTGAGCTAGGGGGCTGAGAGTTGGCACAGGGGGGTAATCGAGCATGCTGATCATCCCCAAGGGGGGTGATCAGCATGCTCGAACACCCCTGTGCCAAATTCCAGCCCCCTAGCTCAAATTTTCAAAAAATCGATAAAATCGATAAAAGTAATGGACGATCTTGAAAACTAATATTGTATTCGTAATCTGCATGCTCGATTACCCTCTGTGCAAACTCCCAGCCCCGCAGGTCAAACTTTGCAAAAAGATCGATAAAATCGATAAAAGTAATGGACGATCCTGAAAACTAATATTGTATTCGGAATCCCCATGCTCACTTCCCCCCTGTGCCAACTCCTAGCCCTGTAGGTGAACTCTGCCAAAAAATCGATAAAATCAATAAAAGCAATCGATAATTCTGAAAACTAATATTGTATTCGGAATCCCCATGCTCACTTCCCCTCTGTGCCAACTCCTAGCCCTGAAGGTGAACTCTGCCAAAAAATCGATAAAAATCGGTAAAATCGACATCGATCGATAACGAAAAGTGGACTGTGACACCCGCCGGGGCCCGAAGTGTATGTGTGCCAAGTTTGGTCCGGATACGGCGGAGCCGGGTAAGCCAGCTAGTAGCCTATAAGAAGTGAGTCACATGTAGAGACGCTAATTACGCTGCGGCGATACTCAGGTAAGGCTAGTACATTACGAGGTATTGAGATTGTGATATTTGATTCTTTCTAATAATTTAATAAACTCACATCGAAAAAGAAAGCTGATAAGACGAATATAAAAAAAAAGTCGATTAACTGCTTCAATGAATTTCAAAGTCCTAAAATTCGACGACCGAATGCCGAGCTTACATTCTAATTTTTTAAATAATTAAATGTAAAAGATTCCAATTTTTCGAACACTCGAATGATCATTCAGTTCCATCCATAGTATAGTATGAGAGCAATTGGAAATTGACATTTTCGTTATCAAAGTGATTTAATAGAAGGTAAATAATATCTCTGAAAAATCACAACTGAAGCCTGGTAGTTAACAATATGTTCGCAAAAGATGATTGTAAACAGTTTTGATATTGGAAAGTGTTATGAGTTTTGCAAATCTTCATCGAAACCGCTTTAGTAAGACCTTGTAACCAGAACAATATTTACGATAACGGAGATGAGCAGCATTACTTCGTTGCTGTAGACATATCAACGCATATTAAATATGGTGTTGAGCAACAATAATTTGCTTCAGTCGGGGACATCAGTGCTTAGCGCAATGGTGTTGAGCAACACCGTTATTGCTGCAAACCACTACAGGGAGTTTCAGTCTGAGTGTCACGGTCGAAGTGGTTCAGGTCCTCGAGAGCCGCCTCGCGTGGGTCTCTCACTGCTACACTCTATACCCGGAGGCCTTAGGCTAAGGGCATACCTCACGCGATTTCAGTCGCGCCGCGATTTGGCAACACTTCAATTGTGCATAACTCATCGTAAGGGGTTTCTAAAAGTACGAAATATGGGGCATCTTATCAAGTTACCAAAACTAAATATGCTGTGCATTTGGGGTCTGCCAGTATTGAATTTGAAGGTATCTGGCAAATTGCCAGATCGCGTTGCGAACTGAAATCGCGTGAGGTATGCCCTTAGCCTTAGCGACCTGCGGCCTTCGGATGCGGTATTGTACCAAGTGAGAGACTCAAGCGAGGCGGCTCTCAAGGACCTGAACACGTCGACCGTGACACTCAGATTGAAAGCCCTGTACACATGTCGAATATGATGTTGAGCAGAACTACGTTGTCGCAGGGGAACTGCATTGATACTGTTCAACAGTAGCTGTTACGAATTTGAAGTAGCACCACTTTGTTGCGGCTGACACATAGGGCTCTGCGTGATCGCGAGAGTCGGCGACTTTGCGGCTACACGCAGGATGCCACAAGGCCTTGAACCAGTTGAACAACCCCGTAGTTTTTAAAATTGTTGTGGGTATTTGAATGCTAACATCTGATAGCAGAAAAGCGTTTGAAAGGAGGAAGTTCACTGACAAAGCTCAATGCGCGTGCCATGGTCGCAAATTCACCGACTCTTGCGATCACGCAGACCCTATATCAACACATGCCGAGCATGGTGTTGGCAACACTATGTTGCTGCTTTCTGAACATCCGTACTTGCCGCAATTTCTACAACAGTCACAGAACTGTGCAACACTTGGCGGCAGACACATCAACACATGTCGTACGCTGCATTTGAAGATTGCCGCGATACTGCTGATCAACACACTTCACCCTTACAGCAGTCATGGACTTGAGAGACAACGCTTCGTTGTTGCAACCTTATCGACGTTTGTCGAGTATGATGCTGAGCAACACCATAATGCTGCAGCATCAGCAATCACCGCAATGTTTGAACAACACCACTTGCCCCTGCAGCAGTCACGGTGATGAGCAGCACTACTTTGCTGCTGCAGACATAGCAACACATATCATGTATGGTGTTGAGTTTCACTACACCTATTGCCGCAACAACCTGCCGCAATGGTGTTGAGCAACACAAGTTTGCCTTTACAGCAGCATGGAGTTGAGCAGCACCACTTTATTTCTGCCAGCCGATCATGTGCCGCTGACGAAGCTTATAAGCACACCAAGCACACAAGTGATGCACGCAAGCCATTAGTGAATGGTTCATTTGTTGTTGAGAGCAATTAGTAAGTTGTGCAGGGTGTGTTCAGCAAGCAACTGCCGGCGCTCTTCGTAGCATGTTCTGCGAATAACCCATGTGTAGCATGCTGACGCAGGGACAATCTACAAATGAGGCTGTAGCGGTTCTGGAGGTTAAAACACAAAATCTATGAAATTAAATTCTTATTAGCAAGATGAGTTCATCGAAATAATCTGAGGACAGCGAAGCTTTTGAAAGGGCACAATCAAGTTTTTGCAACTAACTCTGCTTGAAACACAATGCTTGATTCTGTACTAAATTTTGCTTTATTTGTAACCATCTTTTCCTACAATTTTCACTTATAGCTCCTGTGTTCCACCTCATAATCTAACATGATCTGCACAGGAGTGCATACGAGTGGAACGCATGCCATGCCACAGTCGATGACGGCAAGCATTGTTCCATAACACCTACCTTTCAAACCCCCGTTACATTTTTGGCATATTTTTCGCAGCTGCGATGCTTCCGAGTCGTTGCAGCAATAATGCCCCAGTGTGACTGTAAGGTAACCACATGCAGAAGGAGCTCATCAATTACCTCTGCAGAGTGTAGAAGGTTGTAAAAATTCGATAACATCATTGTTGCCAAGAAGACTAGGTATTAGCGAAAGCTTTAACCCACTGAGCAGCGTTAGCTCTTCTGCGGCTGAGTCAAGAGCGACGCAACGCAAGTGGCCCCCAGGATATACCGCAGGGGAATGTGGCGTAGCTTTGCTCCATAACGCCCCGCGTCAAGCTGCCTACCGAAAATGTAAGTGCGAATGAGGAGCTAGATCCCTTAGAGGTGTTAATTGTGCTAATTACACGCTGAAAGCAAACGCGGCAGGTGTTTTGAAGATTCTTGAAATTCCTTTTCACCTCACCCCCCGGCGGCGGAGCGTTATGAGAAGTAAGAAGCTGCGCCACTATTAACAGCATAACTTACGGGTAGTGCTACCTGTAGAGACGTACTGCTGTGACGATACTTTAGTGATGATTGAATGCTTCTGGACTTCCACGAATTACAACACGAAAAAGCGTACATTGTGATATTCAAAAGTTTCTGATGATCTATTGGTCGCAATTTTGAAAAAATATTTTTTCTAATGATCTATTGGTCGCAATTTTGAAATAATATTTTGAGTAAGAAAAAAGTCGAATAACTGCTGTAACTCCAAATTTGAAATTTTCAGAATAAGTGAACATTGAGAAATTCATTAGAGTGCACATTCCGAACACTCGAATGAATTCAGTTCGGTACAGAGTATAGATGTGGGCATCAAAAACAATGAACTTCGTTATTAAAATGATGCAACAAACTCAAATAGGAAAGTCTTTGAAAAGGAAGAATGAGCCTAAGTTTGCAAAAAATACGTAAGATTTTGAAAGATCTGATTTCTAAAACTTCTGTAGGCCTTGCAACTCTATCAAAAGCTGAAATTCACTTGTTCTTCTGCATCTTCCACCTCCCAACCTTATGAATCCTTTAGCTGAGCTCTATCGCTGAACAGAACTATATCCACAGTTACAAAGTTAACACATTGACGACAACGCCAATTTTTGATTGTCTGCCTCTTGGGACCAAGACCTTTCACGGACCAATCAGCATTTTTCAGATAAAAACACGCATACTGCCATCTACATTATATTTACAGTAGTTGTAGAGGGTAACACAAAAAATAGCTGTCGTCAACGTGTTAAGCAGCACCACTTTCTCGTTGCAGCAACGCAAGCCAGCAGCCACGGAGTTAACCAACGGCACATGTAGTGTTTGGTGTTGAGCACCACCATGTTGCTGCAGACGAACGTCAGTACCTGGCGCAATGATGTTGATCAACATCACTTTGCTCTTATCATGGAGTTGAGCAACATCAAATGCAGAGTATGGTATTGAGCAATACCATGCTGCCGCAGTTGATTATCAGTACCTGCCGAAATGTTGCTGCTCAACACCGCTCTGCAGCAACCACGGAGTTAACCAACAGCACACGTAGTGTTTGGTGTTGAACACCACCATGTTGCTGCAGACGAACATCAATACCTGCCGCAATGATGTTCATCAACACCACTTTGCTCTTATCGTGGAGTTGAGCAACAACATGTAATGGAGTTGAGCAATACCATGCTGCCGCAGTTGAATATCGGTACTTGCCGCAATGTTGTTGGTCAACACCGCTCTGCAGTAGCCACGGCGTTAAGCAACGGCACATGTAGAGTATGGTGTCGACCATCACATGCAGGGAACATCAGTACCTGCCGCAATGATGTTGATCAGCACCATTTCGCTCTTATCACGGAGTTGAGCAACAACACATGTAGAGTATGGTGTTGAGCAACACTAGCATCAACATTGTGCATTGTTCAACATCATTGCGGCAATCAACGTCAGTACTTGCCGCAGTGATGTTGAACAATGCCACTTCGTTGCTGCAAGCATTCAATACGTGCTGCTGCGAGTTTGATAAGCACACCGCAGGTCATGCATGCAACGCCAGTGCAAGTGTTATCAGTTTTTAGAGCAACAAACAAACTATATCAGGGCCTCCTGGATATGGAAAGCAGCTGCCGACGCTCTTTGTAGCATACGACATAACCTGCGAATAGTTCTATGTACATAAGGCACTGAAGCGGCAGCGGTTCTTTAGTAAAGCCAAAGTTGATTATTGACCGAAAATTTGCAACTTAACTATGAAAAAGTGAGACTATTGCTATCAAAAAGCTTTCATTGAATTAAGCTGGGGCCAGCGCTGCTTTCAAAAGGGCACAATCAGACTGCAATTAAATCCGCTAAATCATGTTGAATCACTATTTTGACCTTGAAAATTACTGTAAGTTTTGCAAACCTTTATCAATGACCAGATTTCCTTATAATCCTCGTTTACAGCTCCTATTATGCAAGCTCATAAGCCCAATCTATGTAGATGATCTGCACTACAGGACTACTGCAGGACAATGTCCGTACCACAGGCAGCAACTATGCTCCCGAAGTGTTTTTACAAAGCTAAATTGAACTTCTGTGAAGTTTTCAAAATTTTAGAAATTTAATTTAAACTTTCAAAAAAGCTTTTTGCCTAATTTTATGAAATTTAGGTCGCTATTAAATATATTGCGATCCATTCAAATGGAGGTAAATGAATGGTGAAGGAAGAAGGCGAGTGAAGAAAAAGGAATTCAGTGTGTATGTATGGAATCTAGGAGATGAAATAAGTTATATGTAATAGAAATGAAAAACGGTGCGTGCAAAAATAAGGATCTACCTACCTCTTTGAAAGCTTTATGTCCACAAAGTTTTTTCACAGTGACATCGTCACCCCAATCCGTGCCAAACTCGATGGCAACCTGCTGAGGATTGAGAGCTGTCAGCAAAGTGATAAGTGCTTGTACACTCATCCGACATCGAGCAAATACTGCTCGAAATGTGGACGATTTGAGGTCGACTAGTTGCTTGGCCCAGTCTTCAGCTACTTCATCTGGTACGTTCATCTGGATCGATACCTTTGGTTTTGTGGTTCAAAAGGTAGCTACAAAACATGCCTGAAATCTAACGGTTTCTATATTTGCACAAGCGAGCTGACGGAATGTCATTTCATCCACATATGGTCCTGGCAAAGCGTACTTATAATCTTCCCATCGGCTTCGTTTCAGATACCGTTCAACTGTTAGTTCACCCTAAAATAACTCCATTTATTCTTACTACACAAACGCATATCTATGATCCTAACAAAACCCACCTCTTTGAATACAGCCATATAGATCATTTGCCTGGCCATTGTGGATCGATATCGATGGATGATGGCGTTTGTATAGCGACATACCGATTTCAATTTGCCTAGTGATTGTTCATCGATCTAAACTTTTGATCTAAATTTTTGCTTCTCCCCATGGGTCAGAAGTTTATGAGACGAAATAGTAATATATAGGAAAAATAGCATATCATATTGTTTTTTCTGAGATACCCTAATATGTAACAAAAATAGCATATCACATTGTTTTTCTGGAGATAATGAATTCATGATCATGTATTAGCTTAACAGTCTTTTCAGCATTACTCACAAGCCAAAGTGAATATAGTTTGTAGACGATTATGAATTTTCAGCTGAAAACTTTCACAGCTTCTAGTAATTGCTAGTTAATACTCATCTATCGTTGTAACAAATCTGATAGATCATCAAAAGCTCTCAAGAACGGTACGAAAGCTATTTATCAACTAACTCAATCAGGGCGGAGATGTGATACTGTTTTCAAATGTTTGGTCTCTTTCAATAATCTATGCATTTAGCAGTACAATGAATATCACGAGTAGCAATTATGCTCAGAATTTCTGAATTGTACATGCACTTGTTTATGACATGCGCTTCGTAAAAGGTTTCATGAGCCTTGGAAAGCAGTCCGGATTAGGCTTTCCAACCACTCAGAATTGTTGATCAGGGGTAATTTTTGTCTACCGTATCAATCTACTGATTAAAGGATCAAAATTCATGAAGTGAGAAAAAGGGTGAAGTGAATCACGGTCAAGGTATGTAATACTTACATATTGTAGTATTTTCACCAGTATTTCTGTCGGCAGGTCGAATATATGAGTAGATCTCATCTGAAATCAGCATAGTCGTTGACTGAGCAGATAATTTTTCTGTAGAAGAGAGAAACAAGATATGCATAGATAACGCGGATTATTAGGATAGTCTAGAGGCTCGCTATTTTACCAAGAACATCTCGGGCATTCACACCTTTCTCGCAACTCTAATTATTTGACGACGCCTTAGGCAAGCTTAACAACCTTAGTGGACAAATCAAAGAGTTTTTGTTCACAAAGAGTTTCAAGCTGAGAGCAGTACATGAGCTCAAACGAAGAGGAAACTATGCTATCAAAGAGTATAAACAAAGTAAAAAGGTCGGATACCGTTCAGCTCTACTAATAGACATTTTAAAAGTAGAAGAACAAGAAAAAACAAAAACCAGCCAAATCCCAACCAACAAGATTTTTGAGACATCCAAGCTTTTTCTACAAACCTTTAAATTTTGAATCCGTGCCATGTGTTGGAAACCATGGATTCGTGGAAGGGAGTAATGGATAAGGTAGATTCGAAAATTACCGCATAAAAAAAACAGACAGCAAGCGTCTTGTGAATATTATTTTTCGCCCCTATTCTCTTCCAAAGAAGATCAACGGACGGAGCAGTAATTGTCTATACTATAAATGAGCATGAGGATGGATGTGTGAATGAGGTGCTACAATTCCCAGAGGTGTCTTCGCTAATTCTATGCTGACTGCAAGAAGCCTCTGGAAAATCTGAGACCACCCCAGTCAGATATGTGTTTGGATAAGACTCCTAGCGGATTTATTCTAGTGAGTCTGTTAAGCAGATGGGATCGTGGGCTCATTACCAACAGTAGCAGATGCAGCACATAGATGAGTTCGGTCGTACAATGCAATGACAAAAGCACGAAGGAAAAGGATCCAAAAAACAGGAAATCAACGGAAAAATTAAGCGGGAATCTTCTCTACAGCAGAAGATGACCCAAGGCTAAAGAAAATAGGGCTTTACATGGTGATGTTGCATGGTGAACTAAAAGATTACAATGAAGCTAAACTACCAGTGAGACGGAGAGAATCTTAGAAAACTCAATGTGAATTCGAAATTCAAACTCTTTTCATGGAAATACTGCAGGACTCTTACTGAAGAATATTGTGGTAGTAAAATTTTTACCTCACTATAATTTTGGATAGTAGTAGTATAGGGAAGAAATATGGTACGCTGCTCACAGATAGTATCTTTTGCATTACCGCTGCCGGATATTGCGTAAGAGGCGGAAGCCTTTCAACTTGTGCAGTCGGAACTATTCTTCCATCTTATATGACTGGGAAGATCCACAAGATCAGGAAAAGATAGTAATTAAGGTAAAAACAACCAAATACGCCTTACTGAAGTTTTCGATGGAACAAACTCAGTAACAAGTTCAGAGGAGGTGAGAAATGTTGATGGTATTGACGGTACTATTGACGGTATTCGATATGCAGTTTAGTCAGAATTCAATGAAATTTGGAATTGTGAACGCAGTATTACAGAGCTTACAATGTTGTCAGGCTTTATCAGCTTATTTGTGCAGTTGCCCAACTGTCCCATTTTCGAAATTTGTAGAAAAAAAAACGATAGCCATAGAGCCATTACGGAAACACTCTAAAACGGAGAGGCGAAAATAAACACGTAACCAGTCAAATATATTAGGTTGTCCAGAAAGTTTTGTCGGTTTCTTCAAACCACAGTAAAACCACGCACAATAAACAACTGAGTAAGTTTCAACATGCATTCGATGCAGTTTTTCTTCTCTTTCTTATGGATACATTTTCGAGCCAAAATCTTGTATGCTTTTCTCGATATTTGTTAAAATTCTCCATCCGCCAATTTTATCTGCTCAAAGTTCGGCTAATTTTTAAAAATTTCATTCTAAAGTTTCTAAATTGGTTAGGTACGATTCTATTAGGGTGAACGGTAAAAAATGGGACACCTTGAGAATAATTGCAGATTTCTCAAGGAAGAAAAGTGACTGAACTTTCCAATTTTGATGAATATTAGAATAAATTATTCTCTTTCAGATAGCACCTATATAAGGTCATTTGAGTAATTGACAATTTTTATACTTGCTAAAATGCAAAGTTAGTTACTTCGAGAAATTATGAAGTTTGAGCAGTATCGGCGCAGTGAAACATGTGAGACCACCCAAAGTACCACTGCTGGAGTAAGTGATGGGACAGTCACCAAACCCACGACGGCTTGGTGGCTTTAACTCTCAATGTCAGGAGATATGCCCATTAACAGCTTCGAGAACAAAGATACGCGTTATTCAATTCTTTGCAGATAAACGCATGATTTCTAGGTATCATCTGATACAGCTTTTTACGCTCTATCCATCCATATGCAGCTTACTTCAGATTTTATCTATCTTCGAAAAATACAGGGCAAAACACGATTTTTTGGTTTTTTGTTGCGCCAAAAATAGCTATTTTTCAGGTTTTTTCGATTTTTTTTCTGAAATTGAAAATAAATCTCATGCATTCAACGTATCGTTTGAAAGAGCATGAAGAGCTCTTTCGAATGGTATGTCATTTGCTTTACGACTTTACGGTATAACAGCGCAAGATTGAAGATTGTCCAAAAAACCCTGTTCGAGTTCTTCACGGCGCCACGTGTAGGGTAGTGGAAGAGGAGCGTTAACGCGTTGTCAGAATAATAAGCGAAGGTTGCCTATGTAAGCGACGTTTAAGTTGCTGCTTACTTGCTGTTGCCAGAAAGAAAAAGTTCCAAAATGTAATGAAAATCAAGCTGTCCCATTTTTTACCGTTCACCCTAATAATAGAGCAACTCTCGGACTACAAGGTAGTACTTTTAGATTCCCCCAATCTGCTGTTTTTAGCTTGAAAAAAAATTATTCTTAAGAGGTTTCGATTTTTGGCAAAGTCATGTAACACGCAACTGCAGCAAATACAGGGAAGTTTTCAAAGTTTCTGCGAATTGAAAAATGATTCTTATTAAACATTATTTATGCAACATGACCAAGTTTAGTTTACCTTATAAAAGCAGCTTTTTGGAATTTTCGTACTTTTACGTGGTAAACCTAATCAAAAACTTGCGGTTTCTATGAAATAATTAATGATAATGGACTTGGTAAACGTGGTCCATGCAGTCTTTAATAAATAAAATGTAGCCAAAGATTTGCTCTACATAATAGTTACCAGAGCTCTTCAAAAACGTCAGGATAAAAAATTTTAAAACTCAGGAAAGATTTGGCGTCACTGCTGAGCTGCTCAAAAAGCCATGGCGATAACATTGCAAAGACAGGGTAGATCAGAGAGAAAATATAGCTTTATGAAAGAGGATAAAAATCTGAATCAAATGGTGCTCAGCTTGCCCATGGATTGGTGTTCTGTGAATTTCGGTGATCGATGAAAGAAACCGATAAAATTAGTTTGAATAAATAGGACAACTTTCAGGACAACTAATATAAATGGTAGTCAAGAAATTATCGGCTTGTCTGTACGAATTCAAAAATTAGTGCGATTAAAGCAAATTCAAAAATAAAGAGGGAAACTACCTCACCGACCAAGCAGATTACACAGTAAAAATTAGTTTGAATAAATAAAAAGCAGACCAATGCACTATCGGAAAGTTAGGGGCCGTAAATCCCCTGTACTAGCCATAGCAGGTGGTTAATGAGACAATGCCAATGCTAGTGAGTGACACCATCGAGTCTCGTCGATCGACCTCTTCTACGGGTCAGTAGCATAGCAAATATACTTGAGCTTAGGTAAATGAGGTGAGAAGCATTCAATGAGCAAAAAACAAAATCGCAGAAGCAAGCAGATCGAAATCGAAAGCGGGGTGAAGATGAAGGTCTTAGCAGTGACAAGATCAGAGACCAAAAAGAAGACAAGACAAAACCGTTTGAAGGGCATTTATGCGACGTTTAGCAGGTTTTTAGCATGACATGGTAGTAACACTTTTACGGCAAAAAACATCGGACAGCTGATTCTCGAGGAAAAGCGTAACAAACCAAAAAGCAAAAACAAAAAAGCAAACAGAAAACAAAAAGCATATAGATTATTTGACTAATATTTTAGCTAACTTTTTGTTCACAGAATTTTGTTTCGAATTTTGATAGTTGGTGCATTGTAAAGTACGTACATGCATCACCCGAACTGCTTGTTACCAATGCATTAAAATCAAATACAATTCAAATATTTCGACGAAAAAGCACTATATCAATGAACATAGATATAAATAGTTAGAAATTGAATTTCGAACGTGATATGTACGTATTTATAACTTTTTGTATTTTGAAAATAGGCAGATGACGCTTATCGATCAGTGATTTCCAGATTTGCTTTTCAGTCAAATTTATGATCATCCATCGAAAGTAGTATCGAAAACAATGACAGCCCAACATTCAAATGTCTGTGATTATGACTTGGCTTTACAAAAAAAAGGAACTCACATTTTCTGCTGTGGACGTCATTTGTTCAACCAATCCCAAGTAAGTAGTGTAAAAAAATGATTCTATCTAGAAAGTTGACTCCATTGATTATGTAAGGTGAGAAAATGATATATGAAGAGAGCTAGCCTGTGGAATGAATAATGAACAGCTAAAACTGGAACAGACAACTAGCAGTAATCAACTACTCTTACCTCTGGCCTTTGTCCGTGATGTAAGAAATATTCTAAGAAAATTACCCGCAAAAGAAAAATGGACAGAACAATGAGTGACAGACAGACAGGCAGACAGACAGATAGCACGAACAAAAAATTCTTATAAGTATCTCATTTAGCGAAAAAAATTCTGGAGAGTCAAGTTCAACGGCGTGTAATACATGTGGATGTTATTTAACTGCAGTTTTTGGATAATGCACACCAAAAGTCGTTGTAGTGACCAAATAAACATACATCTACCGTAAAATAAAAATAAACATTGAAGCAAATTCTTTATCATTATACCTAATAAGTATACCAGAACTTTATTCAGCCTAGCGCTTCGGCAAAAATGCCTCACTCCGGGGTCTGAAAAGAAGTGCCGCTTATTTTTTAGCAATCGATGAGTTCCCTCGGCGTGAAAGCTTCACAGCCTTCACTCCCAACAAATCGAATACAGAGAGTGGAGAAGGGAGATATTCCTTTGAGCTGTAAAAATACGTATGAGGTTTCTGGAAAGAAAATTGCCGAACCCAAGCTCAAGATAAAATCTGAATTTCTCTAAGAAAAGAGACTCACTCTTTATTTATCAGAGGGCTGTTCGCTTAGCAAGAGGGAAAAAAGTGAAATTCGAAAATGTGCGGAGAATTTCGAAATTCAAAGTACAAATCCATTCATCAAACAGCGACCAAGACCATAAGTTCATACAGAAATTGGCGAACAACGAAAATGTGATGCATAGTACATATGATTCAGTGACACTTACTAGGAAGGTCGAGATATTGTTTCGAGGATTGGCTAGAGTCTCACGACTGACTTATAAAGTAACATTTTTGACAAATAGGTAATAAGTGCAATACTCTATCGAAGATAGAAAAATCGAATTTGGTTCATTAGAAAAACATGATAGCAACAACGACAAAGCACAACATATGTCTTAATATTAGCCAAGAGTCAAACAGGACAGCTGCGTAGGATTACTGATGTCAGCTGATTTGTGGATCATTTCCCAAAATAAATAATAAAGAATAAGTTTCTCTAGGTTGAAATGGAATAGAGGCGAAATTGACAAAGCAGGTTGTGAAAAAATAAAGACGACAATGACCGATTTATGTAATCATTATCGATAAGATTATGTATTGGAAATAGCAAAAGGAGAAAGCTTGTTCTACCCTTGCTTCAGTTTTTTTAGCCAAGAAAAAAAAAAGGACGTCAATTAGCTCTAATTTATAAAGAAGTATAAGGATGAATTTGTATAGGGAAATGTTGAAGGTAGTATCCGAAGCACTTATGGAATGAAAAGGGTAGCTCAGACTATGTCAAAATATTAGGAGTGACGGAGTAGGTTCTCTCAATGATATCCGTGCAAATCTTGACAATACATCATATCAGAGAGATTCCAGCTAAGATAAAAGAATACACTAACAGGCATGTTGCACCTTGCGCAAACATACAGCACTGTAGACCATATCTTACGCTACGTTCTTACACATTGGTTGGTAGTTTACGACACCTTCGCGGCTCTTTTATCTGTGACTAAAGTAGGCTCAAGTGTCTTATCTGCCACGAGTCATGCATGCGGAATCAATAGATACATAGCAGTGGCGTACTCAGGATTTTGTTGGGGGGGGGGGGGGACAAAAATTCTATTGATGAAGGTGCGTGGCATTAGCCTCGCACTCCAAAAAATTTTTTGGTATGCTTCCTAAAATTTCCGCGGTATAACCACGAAACAGAAAAGGGGGCATGGTGTCAGCCACGCCCCCTCGAAAACTGTTTTAAAAAGCTAAAAAGATTTTTAAATAATTTCAAAAAAAATTCTAGAATTACGACCCCCCCCCCCCCCGCGCCCTTGGCACTCAAGTGCCACACAATTGGGTCACATACACTTTATGAATGTCGTAACTCTTACTAGTAACTCTTGTTAAATTCAAGAATTTCATTCAGTTGGACTCGCCAAAATTAGCTGAAATGCCTCCGCTTTGACAAAATCACGTAATCCGATGAAGCAAAATCCGATGATCCTTTGTACAATTTGTGATCAGACTGAACAATTTTAGAAGAACATCATATATTCACAAGATCATCTTTTAAACAATTTTTAGACGTTTTTTTTTCTTTACAGAGAACAAGGAAAATGAAAGTAACGCATCTTTAGGCTAGTTCATGACTAAAACTCGTTTTTCTTACCCCTTCTTTCAAAAGCTATCTTTCGAAGTGAAACCGTTTTTATTGCGAAATCTTTTGTGATATCTGAATGCATGCGTCGTCTTCTAGTTTCCACATATACTCTTATCTACGGAAGTCTTTGTTCAGACCTAAGTTCCATGGTTTCAGAATCGATGGACTAAAACTTGAAATTTTTCCTTTTACTCTACTTGTTCTACATGGATGAAAAATGCTCAGATTTGTTACAAAAATATGCGTTACAAAATGCCAGAGCCAAAATTTTTAGAAAATGTTGAGTCGATGATCTTTGACTTGAACTGCTGATCTCTGGGGTTCTAGATGTATAAAAAGCTTAGGTGAGAAGCGATTGTAAAACTTTGGCGCACAGTGAACCTAGTATTACTTACAATAGAAAAACAGCAAGATTTTCGTTCCTTAATGGACAAAAAATTAGAGGATTCTAGAGAACAGTTAGCTTTTTTCCGAAATGTAAAAAAGTGTAATTACTTCCGGTTAATTTGGTGATATATATTTTTTCGCACAACATTTCTGTAAAATCCAACCCTAACATTAATATTCAACCGGCTATACAGTGAGCAAAGTCTGCTTCGTTCTAGCACTTTTAAGAGTAAGTTATGCTTTCTCGAACTAGAGCTTTTCAGGAAAATTCTCGACAATTTAGGACCAAAAATGCTTTCCTATGCTATATATTAGGGTGTCCCATAATTATTTACCGTTTTATCCCAAACATCAGCATTTCTCGAGAACTAGGGCATCTACAAAGGGCATAAACACATGATCGTCCTTCTGTATGTATGAGGTATGTGATCACGTGCGTGGGAGGAGCTCAGAACGTCTAGGGGCGGTGTTTGCCATTTCAGTCCATTCAATTTTATCTTTATTTTTAGCCATGGAAAAAATACGGAAAGTGTGGAGTTGAAAGCTCGATGTGTCAAGCATAAGCTAGAATAGTGGGGGATTTCTAAGATTTTTTGGGGCAGAGGTACCATTTTTTTTAATCGAAAATTTCGTTTTTGACTGCTATCAGATTTGAGCTCAAAACTTCAAGTGGAATACAATTTGGGCAGACTTTTGTTAGCCATCTTATAGAGCTTGCTTTGCCCTGTCGAATGATTACTAAAGACATCAATTGAAAGAAAGATACAAAATGGCAACGGCTACAGTAAAAACGGTAAATAATTATGGGACAACCTATACAATCTTACAAAAGTATGCGTGTATACCTGAAGATTTGCTATATACAAACTATGCGCTCAGAGTTGACGCCCGGACCTCTCCTCGCTCGGGCGCGTTGCCAAGTCGAGGGGTATATAAGGCCGCGCAGTTGGCGGCATATGCCTCTCTGATTTCCGACCTTGTTTTCAAATTATTTTCTGATTTCTCACGTTCACTCTATTGATTGTGCTTGGCAGCTCCCCCGACAAGCTCCTGTGGATGAAGTTCTGTTTTGACGGTCGAGCAAGTGATTGTTATAGCTTTTGGATTGTGTCGCGCTAACGCGCGAGGAAAGTTTAGAGCTTTTGTGGAAAAGTTAGTACCGGGATTGGAGAGGGCCGCAACTTACCTACGCGGAGGCGAGAGTAGGCGGTCGACCCAGGTGATTCTCCTGACATCGTGTGTTGGAATTAGTTTGGTGATCATCGGCGGCTTGGGACGAGGCGGAGTCGTCCCGTGTGTTATTCTCTCTTTAGCTTTTAGGCATTTCCATAGCTTAGCTTCTTTGTAGTGCATTTGTTGTTATTTAGATAAATGTTAGTAAACTAGTCGCGCGTTTCTCGTTATGGTTCTTTGCCACTTATCGGGTCGTTGTATCGGACGCGCCGGAGTAGCTAACCGGCGCTAGGGTTGTAGGCAGTAGGTGCAGGATTGTGCAGGCAGTCGAGCGAGGCAAGGAGGTGCTGAGCCCACCGAACCGCAGCAAAGGTTATTTTGGAAGAATCATCTTGCTCCAGAGTCAAAGTTTAGAAAATGTGCATTGATTATGAACGAAACTAATACTAGTTCAGAATCATTAGCCAATCAAAAACAAGACAAGCTATAAAACGACACTTTTGTTGTAGACATCCAACCATAAAATACGTATAGCCCTGTTATGAGCTTTTAATGACGTTTCGAGTAATAGTATGAGTGTAGCATATAGCAAAAAGTGTTTTATAAAAAATTGTAAATTGCGTAGCGATTTGAATAGCAGCTGTCACAAACTCTCAGTACTGTGAAAGCAGTAGCACAGACACTTATTTTACGGCATCTCAAAAGGAGGATTACCTGATGGTAGAGGACAAGATTTACGTTTAGCTATGGTTCAAAACAAAACTAGCGTTGAGAATGTCACTGATATATTCAATGATAAAAATAACTTGATCTATTTACACTCCTGCCTTTTTAACGTCACAGAGCTGATATTCGAAATAAGCATAGACAAAGAAATTGTGTGAGATGACACGTTGAAACACCTGGAGAGTCGCAGAAGAATTAGCATCAAAGCTGCCGGAAGTGCAAGAAGCCATTGATTTGTTGTGAACAAACTGCACTGGAAGATGTTTTTTTGATTGTTTCCCCTTCCTTGCTCGACTACAAATAATTACTACAGAATTGGAAACTGTGGAGATTTATTCTCATAGACAACTCATTGAGAATAATAAGCCACATCGTAAACAAAATAAAAGAAACAATAATTTAATTGTTAATAGTTTTTAAGAGTTCACTAGATACCTATCACAGCTAATTGATCTTATTATGCATGTGAAAAAAATCAAGATTACGGTATGAAATCTAGATCTACATTGCCTCCGCATAAGATCAACACCACATTTTTTAGTCCTAAATCCGCTGGGGAAACCTTCAACAGTCCAGCTAATGGTACAGCAGCTGACGGCTCCACTCTTTGCTAAAAAATATAAAATTAGAAGAAACATACTTATTACCAATTTTGAAAATACCTTCGTTCTGGTCCAAATAAGTTTCAACGCTTGGCGAATCTCCTCATCATTCTAAATCTGAGCTTTTATTAGCGCTACAGGAAAATAAAATTTGTAAACTTACAACTGTAATTATTTTGTCTGAGCAGGTCCGCTTCAAGATTGGATAACAATGTTTTCCTATTTTCAGAACACGAATACCATCTGCTATAGTGTTCACCACATCTTTATCGGGCACTAATTTGCCTTCATTGAGGTATTCGCTCAACATTTTGCCCTCTGGTTCGACCAGAAAGACTAGAAAAAGTTGAAAATTTTTATTTCCAGAAGGTGAAAATTAAAACCTTTGACTCTGGTCGGACTTCTGATACATAAGCAGCGACACCACTTGCCATGCCTCCACCGCCCACAGCAAGGAAGATTGCATCAAGTTTTGAGACTTGTTCGATTATCTCAGCTCCTATCGTACCCTAAATTTTTCAATCTTGGGACTTTGTGAGACTCCAGAAAGTGTATGAGGAACCAACTCTTCGATATTCAATCACAAGAAATCTAAGTTATGGAAGCTATAAAATTGTCTCTTTTCGCAAAACTCGAAGTTTCATTCTATCTTCGTTTGTTATCATTACTTCGTAATGAATCTTGAGCGAACATACAAACAAGTGTGATTATTACTGAAAAAGCTTACTTGGCCACAGATTACATTTTCGTCGTCAAACGGCTCTACGACTCCGTAACCCAACTCTTTTGCGAGACGTGCACAAGTTTCCTCTCTGTAAGATAAATATTTCGGGTTGTACAATTGAGCAGTACCAAGAAGATGGTGAGCTATGACTAGGAAAGAAACTGAAGATATATTCCTAGATTGGAGAGATTGTAGTGCACATGAGATAGAGTTCTTTACGACTAGGGACCAACTGAATTTCTGAAGTTTATGTAAGCCAGGTTTGCTTCACATTCAGCAAACTTACCGCGTTCACCTTAAAGGCAGTGTCCCGGCAGATTCGGGTCCTGGGGGGTATACGTGTGGTGGGGTTCCTAGTCACCCCATCGACCTCCAGGCGCACTCCGGCTGGGTGATGTTCCCCCTGGGCCGAAAAAATGGCCCTTGAACCGGCGCGCGCAACCCCAACTGGCGCGCGCTTGGACGGCCTTCCCCGCCTGTTCGGCGCGGGACCCCACGAGCGCTCTCCCCCACGATGTATGTTATCCAAAGCAAGAATTACAGGCGGCAGGATCTTCGTCTGAGGACCTCCCCCAACTTTCCATTAAAAATCTCGTCCAAGCTGCTTTTCTGGAATTAGGAAAACGCCCCAAAATCGGCCTTTTCAGCCCGTTCAAAGCTCAAATTCGGATTCTATGTGGCGAAAAGGCCTAAAACATGCAAAAAGGTGGAGGTGCAAAATCTGCCGGGACACTGCCTTCAAGGTATTCTCGATGCTGTGAGGGCATACATAGCCAGCAAGTTCATTACAGTTTTGTAAATTTCCTTCTTCTGATACCCTCTCTGCCTCTCCTTTTAGTATTTCCCTTAGAATTTGTCAAAATTTATTGCAACAGTGCCTTCTGTCTATCCTATGGTGACCGTCTCACTCCTCTAGTTTCACAACAGAGAGTGGAAAGGAAAATCAAATCGTCATCTGCACCACCTAGAAATTTACACTGAGAGCTTATTCTTAGAAAGACTTTTCAGTTTGCAGAGAAGGTTTTCTACTAAAATGTCATGAGCTCGAAATATGCACCGTTGAAACATGACTGTGACATTACTCCATATTCGCAAAACACTATAGACTATGCCCATCCTATCATCACTTCATCCAACTAGCTCATCAGAAAAAGATGCCAATTTTCAAACGCTTTGGAATTTTGTTATTAAGAAGTGAACGCGTAACAGAAATTACTCGTCAACCTGATAGGCAGAACATCTGCCTTTGACATGCATTGCTTGAAGTTTTGGTTATCTCCAGTAGAATACATTTTCCAGTTGAGGGATTCATAGCAAGAAGATTTATTTGTTTTAGAATTCATTTTGCGACACTGAATTCAATTCTTTCTGGACAAAACTGTACATAATGTAAGTCCACAAACTTCCAAACAGTGATGGTCCCAGAAATTCTGTCAGGGAGGGTGGGAGGGGGGGAGGAGGCAAAAGGTTACAAAAGTGTGCGAGTAATGTTTATTCTTACAAATAATTAAAATAATTTTTTTGAAAATTTAAAAATTATTTTGATTATTTGCAAGAATAAACAATTCTCAACCCCCCTTGTTCCGCCACTGCTACAAGGGATGATTAATGAGAGCTTCTGCGAAGCAGAGGTGACGCGCTGGTTCATAAAATCACAGAATAGTCCGCTAGAAACAAGTATATGTAGTGTATAGTATAAGTAAGTCTTCTTTTTAATCCCGAATCACATTCTCCGAAAGAGAAAGTTTGCGGCGCTAAAAAAGGGCTACGTCGCAGGTGACGTGAAAATCTTTTTCTTAACTGAAGACTGTTTATGTGACAGACTTCTGCATCTAAAGGTACTCGTCACCCGTAACGTTCAAACGTGATTCGTTCAGGTTTGCAAACCAACTCATCCTTTCGAGTTTCTGACTCGCAGCATAGAAGTTTACCAAACTGCTATTGATTTCTTAACCTTTGCACTCTGCGGGAAAAAATTATGACCTCTAATTTATGAGAAGAATTCGAAATTTACAAAGAAAGAGGATTTGGATGGTTCATATTAGTTTACGACCATTTTCTGTCACATATAATCACAAGAAGTTTTTCTGGAATATTTACACGTTCCTGATACATCTCAAACAAGTTATCATGGAATATGACGAAATTTCTGAAGAAGAAGTGCGAACATTTCAATAAATCAAGTTGGTTCACACATTTCGAGTTTTTGCGTTCATCTGTAAATAAACTTGCTGAATTCGAAAAAAAGCCATGCACTCATACTTTTGCTTTGGTTTGAGTTAACATTATAGACTCCTAATGAACATTTTCAACTATGCTCAGATATTCACGTACAGAAAAAAGATTTGATTGACGTACACTGCCTAAATAGCAGAGATATAGCCCAAGCTTGTCTCCTGAGGTGATCGTTCCGAGATTTCACCCGATGAGAAAGTTATGCGTTGAAAATGAAGTATGGGAAACTTTGGCAATTATGGTGGTTCCCAGCGGATATTCGGGAAAACAAGAGCCTCAGATAAGTTGTGAAAACCATGTGTATAGCACAGACAACGGCTGAGATCTCTGTATGTCTATGAATCTCTGACCAACAGCTTATGGAAGTACAGGGTGTCCCAAAAGTCTTTAAGTCTGAATTCATAAGCTTCTAACTTTGCAAGTCTTTCGTCTTTTCAAGCCAAATTTTGTCCATTTCTGTAAAATCTTGTTCTCCACATCACTTCAAAAACCATGAAGCTTGGTCGGTTCATTCTCAAGTTATGGTGACTGAAGCAGATCGCGTCACGATTGTGAAGTTGAGCCAGGAGGGATTTCCACAGAAGCAGATCGAGAAAATTACTGGTATTGCGCGGAGCAGTATCCAGTTCACTCTCCGCCGATTTCGGAACACGGGCAAGATTGAAGACCGACCCAGAAGAGCGAGAACAGCAACTGACGTTAATGGAAAGATGGTGAAAAGGGTCCGTGAGAGAATCCGAAGGAAATCCCCGAAGAAACATCAGGAAAATGGCTCGAGAGCTCAGCACCAGCCGAAGTTCGGTCCAGAGAATTGTAACGAAACGCTTGGGACTCCGCAGCTTGAAGATGCAAAAGAGCCATGCCTTGACGGAACAGATGAAGGCTACTAGACTTCAAAAATGCCGTAGTCTTTTGAGGCGATTCACAACGGCACGCAGCAGAGCTTTTCACGGATGAGAAGACTTTCACAATAGAACAAACCTACGACCGCCAAAACGACAGGATTCTCTCTCGATCGGTCCAGGAAGCCTCTACTCAACATCGCTACGTTTTCCGATCAGGCCATCCAGCCCAGATGATTGTTTGGGCAGGCGTAACTTCCACCAAGAAGACTCCGCTCGTTTTTGTGGATCCAGGAGTGAAAGTCAACGCAGAATATTGTTTGGAACACATTCTTGTGAAAGAGGTGCTTCCTTGGGCCAAATCCACTTCAACGGGCGACCCTGGACCTTCCAGCAGGATTCTGCACACTCCCATAAGGACAAAGTCGTTCAGGAGTGGTGCAAGGCCAATTTTCCCACGATGATCACCTCGAAGGAATGGCCGCCTTACTCTCCAGATTTGAACCCGCTTGACTTTTCTGTCTGTTCAGTCTTGGAGAGGAGCAAGGCATGCGCTACTCCCCATTGGAATTTGGCCAACTTGAAGCGAGCGCTTCAGAAGGCATGGGAAGATATTGACGTCGACTACTTGCGTGCCAGGGTGGACGTTCCGCGAACGCCTGAGGGCTTGTGTGGAGGCCAAAGGAGAATGTTTCGAAGTCTGAGTGTAATTATGACGTGGGTCTTTCATAAACTATATTCTAAAACCCATGTGCCCACGTTGCTTCGTGCACTTTTAGCTGAAGAAATACTAAGCTTAAAGACTTTTGGGACACCCTGTACTTATACCTAAAATATATACGCGGAACAGGATCACTGACATGATAAAGAAAAAGCAATGCAAAAGTTTGTTTAAATCAAAACTATGATATAGCTAAAATATATACGCGGAAGAGGATCACTGACATAAAAGAAGAAGCAATGCAAAAGTTTGGTTAAATCAAAACTATGACTGCACTGGGTTGAAGGCACCATCCACCCTAAGTTGGAGGTCTTGAGATTGGCAGTTTATGGTAGTAAGACCCTCTCTCAGAGGCAGTTAGGCAAATGTAAGCATATGGATTTTTTGCTTGGAAACTGATGAGGAGGTTCCAGCTAAGACACTGCCCAATTCGCAAAATTATTCATTCACGGCTGAGAAATCCGTCACCAAACACTCCGCCGTTGCGCCGTGACCGTAACACTTAGCATGGGTCCCAGCGCGAACGTAATGTTAAAGTGAACGAAGTCGTTTTCGGGTTACGATCACGGCGCCGCCGCGGCGTAATCGCGGACGGATTTCTCAGCCGTGAATGAACTATTTGCGCTGCCCCTTGGGCAGTGCCTTAGTCAGGACCCCCTCATCAGTTTCCGGGCAAAAAATCCGTGAGCTCAAATTTACCTGGACACTGCCTTCAAGCCAACGCCCAATTTGCGGCGTAAAATGTCGCCGGAAACGAGAAAATCGCTTCGGAATGGCGAAGAGGCATCAGGACCCCAAGTCGGCACCCCACCCCCCCCCCCCCCCCCTCCCTCCAGTGATGCCGCCCATCAGTGCCCATCTAAATCACCGTTCTGGAGGACCGGCCTGCGGTTTTTCCGGAACGGGAATCTGGAGTTTTCGCGGATTCCCGACTTCATATTCGGAATCAGGGACACGATAACTCCGAAACGATCAATACATGAAAGTCGAGAATCTGGGTAGATGGTGCCTTCGATCAAATTATTTTCAGACGTATTTGATGGTAATTTGACGTGATTGCGGCAACTAGAATCTTTACGCTCAGGCTGCAGCGGTTGCCGCGGCTACTGCGGTCAGTGCGATCATTGCTACTGTACGAAACAACCCTTACTGTTGGTTCAAAACGTAAACTGGAGGGAATGGTGATGGCTCGATGCTGTGCTACGACAGCATCAGATACAGATAGCTATGTATTAGAGTGGGAAAAGAATAATGTCGTTTCTTGGGATATAGCAATAGTTCGAACACATA